ACCCATCCCCTGCCATGAAATCGGCCTTAGTTCGAAGCTGCGGAGCTGTGCCCTGAACCTGGGCTTGTGTTCCCACCGACCCTGCCCCCCCCCCCCCCCCCCAAACAGTTTTTGTACGCAGAGGCGCGGTATGCAACTTACCAGCTGGATCCTCAGATCGGCAGTCCATGAGCCTGGGGATTGACAGGCTTTTTGCAAGAGCTGCCAGAGAATCCGAGCTAAGTCAGGATTTGGGGCCTGATGCGTGAGAACTTTTGTGGCTTGCCCGCCTACATCCCCGATGCGCGTAGTCTTTTGCATCCTCAGGCGGACGGCAGCGTGGCCATCCCATGCGGTACCTATCCACACAAAAACTTGCAGTCTCAAGCCGGGGGCCCAGCACTGAATTGGAGAGGGCCGGAGAGACGACTTTTGGCAGTGCTTGGCCGCGCTTGGCAGCAGGCCCTGCCGTTTCCAGACCAGATCGTCCGCCGACCGCGGGTCGCTCTCCTCACCTGGTCGGACTGCTGTGGCTGCGAGGTTGTCCTTGCACGTAGGCTCAGAGACTTCTTCACATTTGATGCCTGAAGCTGGCTAAACGGCAGTGGGGATCATGGCTGCAGTGGCAGAGGGTTGTCGCAAGAGGACCGGCACGAGATCTCGAAGCTCACCTTGCCATCTTTGGCCCCTCGTCATCCCTGGATCGCTTTGAAGTTCTTTTTATTCTCTTTGTTGCTTCACTGTTGCTTCACTGTTGCTTCAGTTGCCTTTCGGCCAGCCTCTAGATAAGCCCCCGAATCGGTTGAGCACATTCGAGGAGCGGCTCTGCGAAGAACACCCCGGCCGCTACGACTTGATCGTGGAGCAGGAGTGCAGACAAACGCCCAACAGTCACTGTGCGTCAAACAGCCCCTCGCGCTGCTCTCTAGTTTGCTGCTCTGCTTGCGTTTGCTCTTGCTTGCGCAGCTCAACGCTGATCGAAGGGGAAAGCGTAGGAAAGCATAGTTGAAAGCCACCCCGAGCCACCCCACCAAAATCTGTCGCAGAGGAGTCCATCCTGGGCCCTGAGTATGCCCCGGCCTGGAACAAGGTGGCGTTTCTGCGAGCGGCTCTCAGCTCTCTGCGCTTCTATGCACACGTCGCCTGCTGATTGTTACTTTAAGAAACTGTGTGTGTGGGCATTGCATATGAGAGATGTCAAGGGGACATGGGTGGGCTTGACACAGACTGAGCACGTCGATTGCCATGGAATTTGTTCGGACGCCGCTTTGTGATCACTTTGGGCCATCATCGCAAGCGCATAAGTTCACAATGGTTCCTAACTCCTGTCCTTTTCAGGAGCGTGCTCCATCCTATACTCTAGAGTCCGATCGCCAATAGTGTATTCGAGATCTCTTGCTATCTTGCTGGCAGCCTGGTCGCCTCCTTCGCCTATGGGATCCGACTAAACTGTTCTACTGCACCAGCCTCCAGCATTGCCTCGTACAGCATCCGTGTACCTGAATGTGAGCACAGTGCTTGTCCCCAGTGGCATCTAAGAGGAATTCCGAAGCGAGCAATGCGGAAAGACCGCAGCTCAGGGGCCTCGGTTGTGCGAGTTCAGGTCGCATTTTACGGACACCCCTCTACGATGCCGTGGTCTGGATTGATGACGACATTCTCATCACAGATCCGGCCAGGGATCCCATGTACGAAGGGCTGAAGAGGACCGAGTGTTGGATGAGTTGTGTCTGGGAGTTCCAGGTAAAGGGCTGAAAGTTTCAGGGGTGTTTGTCGTGCTCTCTGGGTTCGAAGACAAGCCCCTGCATGTTCTGATGTAATTTGAGGCATGTTGAGGCAGTTTCCCGAAGGAGCATACTTCAGCTGCACTCGAACGTCTTTCTGTACGCCTCCAAGGATGCTGGTTTGAGATTTGGCCTCTGGACCAGTTGTGCCGCAAGCCCTAACGCCTTGGAGTCGCGGATCGTCGATAGCAGATTCGTGCACCAACTGCCATCACTGGATGTCAAGGGAGCAGAAGCTATCCCAAATCATTGCTGGTCATCTCTTAGGCATTGTATTTGGCAGCGCGCAGGGCCTTTTTTGCAGTGCGGAAGTAGCATGCTCGTGTGAAAAGGACGTTCGCGTCGACGAGCGTGTGCCGATGAACACAGGGATCCTGGGCCTGCGCAATGCATCGGCCTCAAGAGATCTCAAGAGGAGACATGGGTGCGTGGGACATCCAGGGTCAGAAGTCAGAAGTGGGGGATGCCGATGCTTGTCCTGATGCCGTTCATCCGTTGTTCAGCAGGTTCTTTTGATGCTCTTGCTTGATTCCTGATGTGCGAACGCATTTGCTGAAAGGAAAAATTGAAAGACAACTCGCTCACGGTCTTTGAAGGAGGGAGGAGGGAGAGGAGGAGGGACTGTGAGGGTTTGGGGGTGTGTGAGTGGAGAAACTTAGCAACTGGGCGAGCGTAGCAACGGAAAGCCTTTTGGGGCATGTGGTTGAAACCGGGGTCATGCTTTTCTGTCTGACTTTCCAATCCTGCGGAAGATTCCCGAACGTGAGCGCGCAGAGCCTTATTGGCGGACCAAGAGTGCATCTGTTTCCTCGTTGATTTTGCGGACGTCGAACTTGCCTGCCTTCTGCTGCAGGCCCGACGTGCCAGGAAGTTCTTGGAGGAGCCGCGGTGGCTTCAGGGGGATCGGTCTCGTGTATGGTCTCAGCCATGATGAATGGTACTGTCGCGGAAGTTTGCGGCACCGCGAGTGTATAGATCTCCCAGAAGATGTTTGAAAGAAGTTGATCTTGACTTAGAACACAAAGGCTTCGCATGGCCGAGCCAGAAAAAACACAAAGTTTCCCCAGGCGTTTCATCCCGCGACATCCTGCAGGACCTACTGCGCATCTCCAAGCAGCGGGTAGTGCTTCAAGGGCAGGTGGGGTCCTCACATGCCTCTTTTTTTCATCCCTTCTCCCCCCTCCACATTGACCTCAGCAACATCTCGTGACACTCACAAAGATATCAGGCCCTTCTACAGGGGTTCTGACTCCGTCATTCTTGCAGATTGGCCGTTCCAACTTTGTTTGAGTGCTAGACTGGAGCTAGTCTGCATTCATCCTGACAGACCGAGACATACCGAGACCAACGCTGGCAACGTGTCTAGATCTGTTCGGAAGGTCGCAACAGATGTACATGCAGATGCAGCGCAAACGAAGCTTGCACGTGCCCGCCGAGTCTGAGAACAACATGCCCAACATGCGCTGAGATGCAAGGATGCCTGAGATGTTTTGATTGTGGACTGGCATAGACTGCAGGCCTTCGTTCCACGGAATGAAGGCTGGTGGGATCAGGAGCCGACCAGTAGCTGGCAGTATGCGCAAGCATATTCATGCAGTTCCTTTGCAGTAAAGAGCCCGTCTTCTTCCGTGCACTTCTCGGCACGACAGGATGCGGTGGCAGTTTGGGTGCAAAAGAACGGGCTGGTTGATGCTTACCTCGAGGATCCGAGGGCACAGACACTGGGTTATTTTCGTGTTCCGGGATATAGGGGTCGAAGTTTGCAGCTAGACTTCCAGACAATAGATGCGCGTTGGTGCTTGCTCAAATGTCTGAGCAGGCGGAGTTGGGAGGTCCTGAAGGCCATCATAGGCCATCTTAAGGCCAAGGTGTAACCCAAGCAGGATTGCAAGGGTCCCCGTTGCACGGAACAGAGTCCGGAGAGGAGCACGGGAGGATTCAGTCCATCGTGCGAGACCTCTCGAATGGGCACTGGCAGCCAGGCCCTGCCACCAGCAGAATCGCTGCAGCACGCGAGCCCACACCCTACTGTAGCAGACCCGGATGCCCAAAAGATCTCGGACTCAGTGCAGTGGGATGGGGCCGTAATTCCGGCTATAAGCTTGGGCCTAGACTTTTCATGGTTCAAAAGTTGCGAAGCCCGCAGACATCTTAACGCCCAAGACCATGGAAGCCCTGCCACCATGACAGGGGACTTTGCCGCCCACTTCAGCGGCCGACCCTCCGTGGGCTCGGCATGCTTTTCTATTTCAGGGCTGCCAGGAGCAGAATGGGGCCTTCTCTCAGGTCAAGTACGGAGCCGAAGGGTTAGGTAGTTGCGCCGGTGATAGGATTGAAGAGGAGCGGGGTGTGCATTGGCCTGGCGGGGTGCTTCCAGCTGTCTTTTCGCAAGGCCCTGCCTGCAAGTGCGTCCCAGAAGTTGCCAGGCAGTTCGGTTGGGGGTGCTGCAGCAGTTCCTGCGCAAGCGCCTCCATGAGACCCGACCCTGACGATCGCCGAAGGATTGCCAGGCCTGTGGGCTTTTGAGGGGCAGTTCTACCAAGGCAGGATTCCATGCATAAATCGAAGATGACCTTGGAGAGTCTCTCTTCTAAAGATTCTCGATCACGTTTACAAAGAGTATAGGGACGCAGACGACTTGAGGTCCTGTTCGTCATCGTGTGTAGCCACAAGAGGTCCCTGGCTGAGCTGCTCCTTTGACGCTGGTCAAGCACCCGACCTCTGGCGAAGCAAAAAGAGTCCGTCCCCGCTCGAAGCCACTCCATGGGTGGTGCATCTGTCAACCTGATGATGTCTGATGTGTTTGCCTTGGACAAAAGTTGCAGCTCAGAGGGATATAGTGGGAGAGTCTCAGGATGTGTTTGCAGCAGACCCTGAGATGCAAGCGATGCAGCTGTGAGGTGCAGTCTTATCGGTAGGATTGTAGAGTCTTGCTTCTCTGGCACTCACCGGCCGATCAACAGCGGTGCCCGGTGCTGTCCGCCGAGATGCGGCTGATGGCCCTTGCGGCACCTGGACGGGAGAGTTCGAAGCGTTCGAGGCCGGGATCCAACTAGCCAGGCGCCGGATTTATCTTTCTTGAAAGCTTGAATCGCTCCCATCATAAAGTCTCCAAATGAGGCGACGTTTTGGCCTTGCGGTCCCACTCAACTTGTTCAGAGTTTCTAGTCTTGGACACCCGTGTCAGCCTCCCCACAACTCGATGGGCCCATGGTTCAGGCAAGGCTGGCCTCGTGCATGCTTCGAGCGAGCCGTGTTGTGCTCGAGGTCCTCCTGAGATCGCTTGTGATGTGATTTCGTATGTGAGAATGAGGAGGGTTTCCAGGTTTGCTGGGTGATCGAGTGCCCAAAGTGAACCACTTAAGTTGCTTGCGCTCCATGTCCGTCGCGACCGCAGACCACCCAAGTTGCGCATGTGTGAAACATGCGTCGCAGCTTTCACCTCATAGGGTCGTAGGGTCTATACAGCCCGGCCAGGAGCAGTGTTGGTCACGGTCCTGGTGGTCCTGGTCATGGTGGTGGTGGTGGTGGTGCTGGTGCTGGTGCTGGTGCTGCTGCTGCTGGTGCTTATATTGTTGCTGATGATGATGCTGGTGGTGATGATGATGATTCTGCTCATGTTTGACTTTCGCTGCTCAAAGCAGGCAGCCTTGGGCATAACATTGGCATCTCGACTCGTGAGAGCCGCAAGACGTTCTCGGAAAAGCCGAAAATTGAAGTCGCGGCTGGCTGCCTTCTTCAGGTTCATCAACAATGCTGCAATGAGCCCTCAATCGGTTTGTGGTCCAAGTAAGCTCAACGCCGGTGACAGATAATTTTGCGCATTAAGCATCCTCACCCTCCTGCAATTTATGTTTCCAGCAGAGCATCCATGCAGGCTTATCAAACCAATCTCACTATTGCAGCGGCATCACGGTCAAGCGCCTGGAGGCAAAGGAGCTCAAGCTAGCGGTGTTAACAGTTTGTTTTTTTAGTTTCGCACGGCTGTGTGAGTTCAAGTGCAAAAAGTCGGGAGGTTGGCACTTGCCACGTTGCAAGAAGCAATCGCCCCCGACCTTGTCAGCTTCAACAGCGCTGCCGCGGCCTGTGCCAGAGCCGCGCAGTGGCGCCGGGCACTCTTGCTGCTCGTGGACCTGGAGGCCAGATCGCTCCACGCAGACCATCGGACCTGGACACCACTGCTCGCGGCGCTGCCCTGGCACCATGCCCTCATGGCCCTGGCGGCCTTGGAGACGCGGGAGATGGGGAACGTTCAGACTGTTGAGACGGCGTGCCCGTTGCCCGCGCCTTTTGCCGCCACCCTGTCAGCGGCAGCGCGGGACCGTGCTTGGGCCACCGTGCTGGCGCTGATGCAGAGGCTGAAGCAAAGCACCGAGGCCGAGGTGGCGACGGCGAAGCGAGCTGAGGCAGAGCGGGCACGGGCTGTTGGCCTCAGCGCAGCCATCAAGAGCCTCGTGGAGGTCTCTCGCTGGCCTCTGGGCTTGTGCCTAGTTCAGGAAGCGCAGGCAGACCTGCGAAGCAGATGCGACAGCGTTCTGGTGTCAACCTGCATGCTTGCTTGTCGGGCCGGGGCGCTCTGGCAGCTCGGGCTCGACCTCCTGGACCTCCTCTGCGAGGCGGAGGGAAAGGGGGCAAAGGTTCGGACGGCCGTCTGCCACAACTCGGCCATCAGCGCCTGCGCCGTGGCTGGGCAGTGGCTGATGGCCCTGCGGCTGCTTTGTGACGCCGAGCGCATGGAGATTCTCGACATGACGACCTGCAATGTGATTGGGTTGCAGCTGGCATGCGGCATGCGACCGCTCAATCCCTCTTCTCTCGCTGTCTGTCCCTCTCTGTCTCTGCCTGTTTGTCTGCCTGCCTGCCTGTCTGTGTCTGTCTGTCTGTCTGCCTGCCTGCCTATCTGCGTGTCTGTCTGTCTGTCTCTCTCACCAAGCACGTGGAGAAGCTTACATGGAATGTTGAGTTTCATTGCTCGCAAGAATCGTACAGCCTTCCATGATGAAGTTGTGCAGCTACATCAAGTCTGTGACCGTGCTGTTTGCGCTTGTAGTTTCACATTGGCATTTGATTTGGCATCGGCGTCATCCTTGTGGGGCAAAGCTGGCAACCCAGGCTGCGATTAGTGCTTGCGACCGGGCGCATGCCTGGCAGCATGCGCTGCAAGTCCTTGGCGTAGCGGAGGGTCGACGTCTACGAGCCGACACCATCAGCTGCTTGCAACAGTTAAGCGCGAACTTGGCCTGGCTTGTCTTGTCCTTGAGCCTTTCAGGCACAGAAGTGGCCCGTAGCTCCGGCCTCCTGACTATCCCGGAAAACCCAAACAGGGGGCTTGTTGTGCGCAAGTTTCGCATTCGGAGTCACATCCTGCTGGTGTCGAGTGGAGTGCTTCGTGGTTTCGAGGCTGTGCCACGGCTATCAGCTGCTGTGCCTCCGCTGCGGAGTGGACAGTGGCCCTCGCCCTCTTCACGAGAGACCTTCAGCCAGGCAACGGGCTCTAAGAGTCAAGAATCGAATTTACTGAAGAAATTCACAGAAGCCCACTTTGGCGTCCTTCTTGCAGGTGCGTGTAGGGTACCTTTTAAGAGCCTCAAAACCTCACACAGCACAGGCTTATTGACTTGCTCTAGAACACCAACACTTGTCCATGGAGTTATGTGCAAGCGTCCTTGCCCCTTGCGAGAAACTGTAGTATACTCTGATGTCCCTCGCCTGAGGGGCAATGTATGTGGGCCTTTTATTCCATGGTTTTCCCATCTGGGGCAGCACTAGCATTTCTTCATATGTCAGGTCCACGAAAAGCGGACTCTCGAGCTACGTGGGTAGAAGACCTTCTGTTCCATGCTGTAGCAAAGCTCGCCAGCCCCAAGGCTACACTGCAGAGATGTGTGGACTTCTGTTTGTGCATCGAAGGCGCCTTTTCTCTCAGCGCCCTCGTGGCTGCCTGCGGTGCAGCGCGATGCTGGGAGCGTGGCCTAGCAATTTGGCAAGGACGGGTCACAGCACTCCCCACACTGCCACGTTGCACTCATTGCCGGCTCTTGGTATAGGCTTGCGCATGTGGACGTCAAATTGAGCTTGCCGAACCGCAGAAGGGATCGGCAGCAATTACAGACCGATGTGCACAGCGGGCGTTTTCAACTGCATTATGCTCCCAACATGATGCAGTGTGGGACTGAAGTTGGCGGGATGTTGTGGCTCGTCCGCACAGTGGTCACATGTGGCAAGTGACACTGCCGTAGGATGGCCCTTCAAGCTGGACCTCACCTGCCACAATGCAGCGCTGTATCTCCTAGCGCCCGTGGGCCAATGGGTGGCGGCCCTAGAGGCCATGGCCAGCAAAAAGGAGCATACAGGCTGAGGCCGACAAATTTTCGGCCACCCCAAAATGCAATACCCGTCACATGCTTTCTCCACGCCCCAGGGCCAAGCAACCCTTTGGCCCACAAAGTTGATGACAGTTGGCCATCAGTTACTACGTTCTACCCAAAGGCTAACAGATCGCAAGCTCATTGAGGCGTTGACTTGACCTAAGCATCGTCACGCCTCTGTTTGCAGGTGCTTCGTGCCATGCGCCACTTGGCCAACGAATGTTTCTCAAGGGACGCTTACTGGCAATGCCCGAATCGAAGACTCTCACTGATCAGGTCGAGCTTGTGAGTTTCGCGTCGAGCTTTGGGGAGGTCAGAGTGGGGTCTCGAAACCATGGGTTGCTTCATTTGCCAGGGTAGGCAGCTGCAAGCACGTGGCATCGACATCTTTTGCAGCAGTCGTGTATGGGGTGCAAGACGTCAAGAAGCCGAGACCAGCTGAATGTTGCAAATGGAGGCTTCATGGGGCTTGCCGTTGCTCATGGATTTTTCGAACACGAACCGAATCGGAGCATCTCCAGGCTCGACTGCAAGCATATGTATACTGTAAACGTATGTGTAAACACCCCTCCTCCCTGAGAGGAAGAAGAATTTCCCTAGGTTCCACGGATACACTGAGCTTGGCAGCCTGCCTGGCGTCCTGCGAGGTGCCTCCTTTTGCCAGGAAAGTAGAGAAGCTTAACAGGGAAAATCCCCCCGCTTTCTTGCATCCTTTCTACTTTCTGCACTCTGCTGCTCCGCGGAATTCTTTCAAGTTCCACAAGTGCGATCAGAGCCCTGATTATTTGTCACACATTTTGTCGCAAGACTGGTGGTGCTGTATGCGTTGCCAGGGTAGAACTGCAATCGGGTGGTGTCTGGTACGAGATGTAGATCGACATAGATCGACACTGCAAACTCGGGAGATATTCCCAGTCTTCATTACGATCCTCTGTGTCCCATGGACATGCGCCTTTCGCGTTCCACCTGTTTCCTCATGATGCTGACCGCTGATTGTGCTGACACGCATGTTCTTAAGCCGTAAAGCCTCGCGGATCTTCTCCGTGCGAGTGCAGGTCGCGGGGGCCTGGCCTCCCATGCCAGGGCTTTGCAAGGCCGCTGGGGAGCAGGCGTGGCTGTGAGTGCGGTCGCCATGCGGTTCCTTGATCGGGTGGTCTTTGCTGTTTGCTTGTTCAGGTTTTTCAGTTCGGGCAGCCGAAAATCTTGGCTAGTACATGCGCTAGCAGTGCCCAGATCTAAAACCGTTAGATGCGGCCAGCCATTGCACTCCTGAGTGAGTTTCAGAAGCGGGTGTGAGCCTTGCCGGATCAATGAAGGCCAAGCTTTCGAGTTCCAGCGCTGAAGGCTTCGAACTCGGGAGCGTTCCCTCTGAAATAAGCTTGGTCAGGATTTCCTCCCAGGGAAGCTCTGTAAGGCATCCCAGAACCTTGCGTGGAAAGTGCCGCATAAAATGTGATCCCTGAAACTAGCTGCAACTGGCTGCAACTCCATGCGAACCCTAAGAGCACGTTGAAAGACGATTGTTCACAGCCGTTCCTCAGAGTGCCCGCAGATTCGTCAAAGCGCCGCAAGCAGCTGGAGGACGGCCGGTCCAGCATCCAATGCATCGTTTGCTCAGTAAGGGTACAAGTACGGTACAAGGGGAGTACAAGGGGGTCCTGTGTATTGGTTCAGCCGAGCTCAGTCCGGAAAGCATCCCAGTGGCCTTTTTTTTTGTGGCCCAGGAATCCGGTGCTGCACATGGTCGGAGCCGGAGCTGGACAGGCGTGAGCTCACATCGCTCCAAACATGTCCCGACTCGCAATTGAAATTTGTCCCAAGTCTTCTCTTAGACCCTGAAAAGACCCTCAAATACCATCAAAAATATGGCACTAAGAAGAACAGAAAGATAGAGACGCGCAGACTAAAGGGGGGGAGGGCTCCCAGAGGCCAGACTCGCTAACACAACGCTCAAAACGGAGGATCCTTTCTGCTCAGCGGTTTCGCACAGACCTCTTTACAGTCGAACTAGCATGCTCATGTCCGCCTGCGATGGAAAAGCATCAGGAGACCTTCCAATATAATCGGCTCGTGACGTGAGAGTGCGTTGTTGGAGACCATGCAAGTTACCGCACAGGTGGAATGGCAGCGGCCAGCGGGGAGCAAAAAAGTCCAGGTTGCCACTCCTCCATGTGGACAGCATTGCAAGTGCTGTAGAGCTTGGACTTGTGGCACGTCCAGCACAGAAAGCCGGCGCTCTTTCGAACTTGGGTTGCAGCTGCAGCAAACAGGAAATTTTCGCAGTTACATGATTTGCTGCCTGAATGGCTTAGCATGGCTTAGCCAAGCAGTTCCAAGATTCGTTAGCACTTCCATGAAGAAGTCACAGTCTCGGCAGCTTCCCCCATGTTGATGAGCTGCCATGAAGAGTCCATGTGCTTCTGTCGTGGAGGCTCGGTGCGACTCATCCTCTGACACGGAATTCCCCGTCTTTCCATCGTTGGCATTTGGTACTTAGTTAGCATATCCAAGACTATCAGGAAATTCAAGGCGGCTTTCGGGCAATCTATCTGGAAACTCGTGCTGCTATGGAAAACGTCTGGGAGTAGGTTTGAACACGCCGTCGAACCGGAGGCATAGAGGTGACCAATTCCTGAATTGTGCTAACTTGGCTGCTGGTCTTTGGTGACGGCGTGGCCTGAGCCCGCTTCTTTGCTCCAAATATGTTCAGAGCAGGTGCTATCTCTAAGGCTTCTCAGGTTTAATGGCTGGCTTCCACGGTTAAAGTGGCCTGTCATTGGTCCTCGTTTTCTCCTGCAAGATGTGTTGCGTGAAAGGCCTACGCACCAGCTGGCCCCACGGCACGCCCCGGAAAGGGGCTAAGGCTTTCTTGGGATTACGGGGATTACGGTCTTCTGACTTCGGATGGGGATGGGTGAACTTTGTAGCCTCGGAAGGGATGGCAAGGGTCTGTTTAAGTGAGGCGTTGAAGGATGCAACGATGTGTAAAAAAGAGCCATCGTATCTGCTTCGGCAGCAGTGGCAGCCGGTCCAAAGTTCCAGTTCGGGTTGATCTGTTTTTTCGACGGTTGCAGAGGCCGCCTCTCGGCTTCCTTGTAGCGGCTTGTAGCGCATGTGGGCTGCCGAAGGGCTGTCGAGAGCTTGGAACTCGGGATCCTTTAAAATCCCTCAAGCCTTTGCAGCCTTCGACCCAGGGAAGGCTAAACCTTCAGCGCACAGGTTTTTTAACTCTTTGACAAAACCCTTCGCGCTTGAAAACTGCCCAACAGTAGCCACCGAGCAGGGCTTGTCCTTCTCGCCCCGTGTCCAGGCAGGACCTGGTGGGGTCCAGGGTTTGCAGGGCTGTTGCTGCTGCGGTTGGTCTGTTAGTAACTTAGTCTGTTTCGCAGATGACGTTGCCCGGGAGAGATGTGGGTGTGTCACGGCCGATCCCAGAAACGCATGTCGCCCCTGGAACTGATTCTTGAGGATTCCGGAGGCATCTTGTAGTGGAGGGCTTGTTTGCTGTAGTGATCTTGCAAAACAGGAAGTCCGTGTAAGCTCGACGAGGGTAGCTGGTTCCTAGTGCAGCCCTCGAAGTCTAGAAGCAAATGCAGAAGATTCATCCGTTTCACTTCTTGACGCAGCCCCGCAGGGCCTGAGAACTGGCCACAGAATCTCAGGACTTTATCTTACTCGCGAAACTCTACGGTGCCAGGTTCCTGCCCCGCTCTCCACGGCCGGGCTGCTGCAAGCGCTGGCACCGAAGCGAGGCCATCAGTTCCCCCTATGCTGTACTGGGAGTGGAAGCCGAACTCAAGTGGACGAGCAGAGCCGAGAAAGGGGGATTGATGAGCTGAGACCCCTTTCAATCTGCAGTTTGAAGAGAGGCTCCAGATCACTCCAGGGTGGCGGTTGTGGGGCAGTCGCCAGAACCTGCCGTTGCTTCTTTTTGTGGAACTGCTTGTGCCTTCAGTTGTGGCCGTGCGCAGGCGTGGACTAGGCCAATGACCCTAAACCCCTTTGAACCCTAAACTTCCCTAAGCCTCAAACCCTAAACCTTGCATCGAAGACGCAGCTGCACCAGGTGCGCCAGCGCCAGCCGTTGCTCCACTGGGGGTCCCAAAGCAGCAGGTGGAGGCAACTTCGGGGCAAGGTCTTGAGGATGCTGCAGGGTTCAGCGCGGGGTTGACAGTGGTCACGTAGAGTGAGGAGTTTAAAAGTTTAAGCATTGGGGAGGCTTGGAGGGCTTGGGGCCTACGGCATTCGAGGAGCAAAGAAGGCAGGAGTCACGTCCAGGACACTTGCGTCACTTGGACATTTCCAGTGGAGTTAGAACCATGTGGCGCTGAAACCGCAATTGCTCAACACTCATTTCTGCACCGTGCCGGCTGCAAGGTGCAGAGACTCCACCCCGGAGTCGCGATTTGACTTGTGGCGGCAGAACTAACATATCACTCCCCTCAACATCGGAGGGCATGAGTCCAGGTAAGTTCTGTAACATGCAGGCCGCAGGCTGTGCAGATGCGTCGGACGATGCACTGCAAAGGACCTCTGGTAAACAAGCGGGCCCATTTGACATGGAAGGATCAGAGCTCCCAGGAGTTTGAGTTTTCTGTGCCATGCCCGGTGACCTCTATTGACTTCGGCCAGTGGCTGTCAGGCGCTGGCCAAGCGTTTGGCTTTAGACGCACAGGTGGAGCACTCAGTTGGCCTGGTTTGGTTTCGTATAAGTGCATGAAGAAGCCAAGGCACCCTCAAAGGCACCCTCAAGGCAAAACCAGAGGCCAAGGCCAGCAAATAGCGACCGCAGCCAAATCCAGAAGGCCACGTAAATCTGCGCGCTCGTACCCCTTTCGACCAGTCCGAGTTGTGAAACTCAGGCGTCCGTGGCGAGCACGGCGTCCAAAAGCGGGGATCCACAGAGCCGCTTCTTATCATTTCACTGCGCAGTGCTGTGCTTGCATAAATATGTAAAGCCTTGGTGACATCACATTCTACGAAAGAAATCTTGTTGGTGTCTGCGGGTCATGGAAAGAGGAGTCTGGGCTTTGACTCATCCTGTAGATTGCATGTTGCGGCTTTTCGCTCGCGGCGTTCCTGACAATTTCTCTTGCATTTGGAAGCCCATCTCCGAGGCGAGGCCCGGCGCCCCGGGCCACGCGCCCCACGCTTAGCGGCCCGGCCTCCGCTACCGAGCCGCCCGAACGCCGAAAACGTGGGGGTCGCCGCGGGCGCGGCGGGCGCGGGGGGCGCTGCGCCGCTCTCGCCGGGTGACTCCCCGAGCACCTCGAGCGTGCCGAGCTTTTCCGGGAGTGCGGGATCCCAGTTGGCACCCGAAGCCGAAGCTGTGAATGTGCAGCATACATCAAGAGATCCACCACGGAGCCGTGACGATACGATGCACACTTCGCACATCTCCAAGTAGGTGTCAGCCACGCCACCACGCCTTCCTGGCGGTCAAGGCCGAGCCTGCAGGCGGGGCTATCGGGGGTATCGGGGGTATCAAGATGGGGGAGTTGCCAGGGTTGCTAGGGGGCCTTGTCACCTTGTGCTAAAACTGCTCTGGAGGGGTGCAAAATAACTGCAACGTGCGCTTGGGATGCATTCTGATGCTACCTCAGTGACACATTCTGACACGCGCTGCACGGTCCCGCAGGCTACCCCATCTGCAACGAGCCAAGGCCGAGCTTGCATCAGGGCAGCAGGGCTGTTGCTAGCCATAGCTTGGGCTCAGCCAAGAGTCGCCATGCCCGACTTGTGTTTCAGGGGGAAGGCTGTCCACCTGACCCACCCTGAATCGCTCCTTGCTTGGCAGCGTGCTGGCACACTGGGCACAGTCTCATCTGAAAAAGAGCAGCCGGACAGGGACATCTGAGATGGCCTGCAAGCCCGTGGTCATGGCAGCGTCCGCGAGGCAGCGCGGAATTGGGCTTCAGGAAACTGCGTGCTGTTTGTGACAGCAAAAGACTCTGCTAGTGAATGGCGATGTGCTGGGCTAAAGACCGTTTAGGGCCTATTAAGGAAGAAGCCTCCAAACTCTTAAGCCCTCGGCACCCCCCATGCAAATCGCAGAGGCCCCGGCTCTCGCCACTGCTGGAAGCCCGCTGGGCGGTACTGCCATCTCACTTTTCGGGGTGCCCGAACCTGAAAGTACGGAAAAGAGATGCATGAATGCCAATGCCGGGTCACGAGTCACACTGTGCCTCTCTTCAGGGCCCTGGTTCTGACCGTGGAGTCTGCAGCGTCACTTTGGGTTGTTGATGTTGTTTGTTCTCCTCTTTCGGTCATGGCAGGTCGTTCAGGAGGAGCGCTATCGGGGAGTCCCTCAGAGCGAGCTGGACCGACTGGATCGGATTGATCCTGAGGTCGACGAGGTGCGGGATCCTCTGAGATTCAACAGGTACTTGTTCGAGGCCACGAAGATGCATCTAGCTGCCCACATGCAAATTATCCAACACGCGCATCCATAAGGTTCTTGCAAATCAAGACTCACTGCGGTTGATGCTGAATCATCTGGATTCAGAAGTTGGTTGAGATATGTTGAGACAAAGGCAGAGATGGGTAAGACCTGCTGAACATATGGCATATACTCCCGCGTTCCTGCAGCGCAAGCCCCGACTGGAATGCCCTTGAAACCTGGAAACCAAATTTACCCAAACTATGAACCAGGCGAATGCCATGCTTGTAGAGTCCTTCCTGAACGTCAAGCGTTCCTTGGGATCAGAGGCGGGCTTTTCAACTCAGAGGTTGTGCGACGTCGCAGGTGCCGGGATGGCAGAAAACGTAAAAAAAAACAGAATCGCGATGAAATGCAGGAGTGACTTTGGGGCTGTAATACTTGTTGATTGGACGGAGGCGGCTAGAAGATCGAAGACACGCCCCAGAATCCAAACCCGCTTTGTACTTGTTTGTACTCATTGCTTTGTAAAGTCGTTGAGATCGGGCTTTGCAGGCACCTTCCGAGTCGAGGAGAGAGCTCTCGCAGCAGGGGTCTCTGAGTCGTCAAGGTGATCGATTGCGGATTGAATCGGATGCATGTTGCTCTCCGTTGAAATGAAGGCGTTGTATTAAAGCGCGAGGTCGCTTCAAGTCAGCATAGGACTTGTTAGTCATGAATTAGGGCACAATGAAAAACAGGCGCCAAAGGGCACCTTTCGCCTTTCGCTCCCTGAGGTCGAGCAGCTCACGGCCTCGCGGTATTGAGCAAGGCAGTGATAGCTGGCATCTCAGTGACCGACCCAAGCTGCTGTTGCCTTTCATGCCTCTTTGTCCACTAAGAAGAAGGCGCTGCAAGGCCTCAAGAATCTCAAAAGGCCTGCAAGGTACCGACCGGGACACTGCACGGCCAGGGCCTCGTGGCAGAAATCTCGGAGATGGGAGTTGCAACTGGCACCGAGGCAGCTTCCAGAAAGCAGGCTACCAGGCAGCGGGGCCATGTTTGCATACAAGCTTCAACTGCGGATCCCCAAATGGCTGCAGGCCAAAAGTTCAGGGGAAGGCCATGCTTTTGTGAACAACCCCCCTCCGCGACAAGTCTCCAACGACAAGCATGCGACATGTGTATGAAACCTGGGGGTAAGGGAGAGGGGTGGGGAGGTGCTTCTGTCAATCCTTACATCTCAGCCTGAAGCCTTCAATCCTCCTCATCGACTCCTCCAAAGTGCAGGTGCTATGCAGCCTGCCTCCAGCTCCTCTCCCGCGTGACCCGTTGGAGAGCGCTTACTCGTGCAGCACAGGTGCTGGCAGAAGTGACGTTTGAAAACCATGTCATGGTTCGAGCATGTGTTCCGCGCGAGGCAAAACTGCTAGGGCTAATGCTGGGGTTAGGGCGTCTGTCCGCTGTGAAGATGGCTTCACCTGTGCGTGTTGTAGGGTTGCGGATGCCAAGCCTCGATCTTAGCGAGCCCAGGCTCCCACGTTAGGATCCTTTTTGAGCACACTTGCAGAAGTTCGCAGTCATGTTGACCATGTCGCCGGAATTCTCCCAAACCCGAAGCCCAGACACCTTGGAATCTCAAGGGCATTCTCAAGCCTAGGAAAGCCTTGGTTACTGCAGTTTACTGCAACTCCACGAGGCTTATGTGCCAAAGAGCAGAGGTTTCACCAGTTGCGCGTTGCCGAAATCGGCCGCGCAGTGTCCTGCACAGGGCGAAGGGCGAAAGTGAAAACATTGGTCCGCACAACTGCTTCCAGGTTTAGGTGACAGCTTACTGGCTTGTTCAAAGGTTTGAGGCCTTGAGACCTACGTTGGTTAGGCGATGGGCGATGCGGCAGGAGGGGCAGCTGCTTGAAATGAAGAACAGAAGCCCACTGCTTCCAACAACCCATGTCAGCCCATCTGATACCTGCCGACAGAGTAAGCTCCCAGACTTTGTTCGGGGCGTGGCTGGTTCTCCGGTGTGCCTTGCGAACCAACAGTCCGAAGCGCTGAAACTGTTGGCTCAGGCCTTCCAAGCCTGACAACCCAAAACCGCTTCAACCGGAAAAAACCCCAAACACCCAGCGCAAGTGCTGCCAGCGCAACCCAATGGAGCTGCCCAGAGCTACACCCCCAAGCCTCGTACAAGCTCTGTAGAGCCGTCCGTTGCCTGCCATGGAGACCGTAAATCGCTTGCCGCGACCCGAGGACTCGTCCTCCGTGGGCTTTTTTCTTGGGCACATGTCATCAAGTGCTTCAGACGTTGGGGGGTTGATGGGTTGCCGCGACTTTGTTGAAAGATAAAAGACTCCTTGACACAGGACCCGGCCGCCCTGGAGCGTTTGGTGGAGGCCTGGAAGAATGCAGCAGGGGACCTTCCGCAAATTGGGGCTTTCGGCAGGCACAACGGGTCCTCTGCGCGCGCGCCGTGAGCGAGGAGGCTGCGGTTGGGAAGTTGTATCCTTCTTGCGAGAAAAACCATGGTCTCACAGTCCGGTGTACATTGGAAGATATTGGAAGCATTGGACAGCATTGGATACTTTTTTTCGGTGTCCGGTTGACACGTGGGATTGAGGCTAGGACCTGGTGCCATACAATGAACCTCAAGCTAGCGTCATTTTGCAAAGCAGGACATCCTACTCTGGTCGATGCTCCGGGATCCAGGTTTCGCCGGGGTTGCTGGCCTGCAGGACTGTCAGCACGCGCTGTCGCTGCTCCTGGAACTGTCCAAGCCGGTGGAGGTCGGAGACCCCGTTAAGGGAGCGAGAAGTGTAGAATGTAGAAAAAAATCGGGAAGGGAGCAAGAGATGGGCCTGATGACATGCTGGGGTGGGGATGGATGGAACGAGTGCTACATGACATTTGAAGGTTTACGGTGGGCAAGCTAGGTGAACTCTTCCTTGAACGTGACACCATCTCAGCAGGTCTATGCAGGTCTCAGCGTCACGATTTTATTTGACCCAAGCCCTCCCGTCTAGTTCGGTACCAGGGCTTGCCTGAGTTGCCTGCACTATGGCTGGACGTCGGGCATCGATAAGTCAAACTGTATGCTTATGACGTGAAAAAAAGAAGGTGGTGCTGAGAATGGAGCAATGTTCTTCCGGAAGGTTTGAGTGAGGGTGTCTTGCACCAATCACCCGAATTTCCGAAAACGCTTCAAACCCGCGATGTCCGGTGAGCTCATGAGGTTCTAAATGCTTCAAATCTCTCTGCATATCCATGGCTGGTGAAGTATAAACGGAACACATAAGATCGGGGAATGTTCGGAATGAGTAAACTAACGAAGCTCATGCGAAAGGAGGAGGGCTTTGGCTACTCGCCGGCTCTGCTGACGGTCGCATCGCTTTACGAAAGCGGTTTCGCTCCCTGGTCGCGCCCAAGGGGGAAAATTCGAGTTTTCAGGCTTTTTGGTGGTGTTGTTCGGGTTGTTAGAGAGGGTTCATGAGCTTTACCCATCCCTTCCTCCTTGTAGTTCTGGCCCTCAGTGATCGCAGTATTGCACTCGTTCCAGCCCTGCCACTCTGAGGAGCCTGGCATCTCACGCGACCCTGCGCAAGCAGCCAGGCACTGGCAGATGGATGCGCAGTGTAGGCGACAAGCACACGAGATTGCTGAGTTTCGTTTGCTGGTCCTTGCACATCTGAGCAGCAGGTGCTACTTGGCCCTGCTTGAAAGCCAGATTCCTGCTGGAACGCTGGGACAAGAGCTTGTTGAGGAGGCGCGGCCTTGAGGTTGCGCTCCCACTTGAGGGTGCAGACTCCAGATTCAGGGAAGTTCGGACCACCAGATTCAGGAGATCGCACATGGACTTCCGACGTGGCTTCCGGAAACAATGACTGCGTGAAGGGTAGTGTCATCTTCGCAGCGCAAGGTCACAACTAAAAACGCCACATATCAGCATGCCTGCAAACGGTTTCCTGTATGATACCCACACATACAACGCAAATCATATGCTTGTTACAGAGTCATTGGGTGAGCGGTGTCGGTTTCAGGAAGTTGTGCGGCTCTCGATGTAGGCGCTTGGCCCAAGCCTACTGCAGCATCGGAGGCAGTTCCCGTCTTGGGTTGGTCGGGAAGTGGTCTCATGTTGCGCCATGATATCTGGTGTGGTTATGGTTGCTGCAGGTTGGGAGCATGTGGCTCTAGCATGGGCAAGTCTTCGAACATTGCGGAGTGTAGGCTGTCGATGGCCAGGTCAGCTGTGGCACTTGGGGAGGAAAAGCATCACGAAAGAAGTGGAGCTTCTGTTCCGACGCGAGCTTGACGTTGAGCCTGTGGACGTGCATGCAGCTGCCAGGAAGGACCCTCGCTTGTCACAGTCGAGCTTATTGAGCCTTGTGCCAATGGACCAAGACGAGGCGGAAGTGCACTGTTTGAAAGGAGATCCTGTCGCATACTACCTGGCGCCAGTTGCAGTGCACCTGAGCAACTTCTCGCGCGTTTTGCTCATGTTCCCAGATTGGGTTGCCTTTGAAGATGTTTGTGTTGACTTGGCATGGTTGCGAGATGGAACCAGCGCCTTCTTTCATGCAGGCAGTGCGCGTGTACGGGACCTTGCATACTATCCGCGGGCATGGTTGTCTGCTGGCCTCTCCGAGCTCGAAGAAGAGTCGGAAGAGTGGGAGGTGGACGAGTCTGTACTTTTCCTGGACAAGGCCCAGTGTCCGTCCGGTGCTTTGGTGGTGTTGGATCTAGTTTCCAGCAACGTCCGCACCGGTCTTTTTCCATGTGGCACGCAAGCATACTGGCGTGTGGCATGGGAGCTGGCAGGCTGTTCCTGGACCTTTTCTCGCTTCCTGCCTGCACTTCTCGGTTTCACTACAGATGGTGACTTCATGGGGTGCGGGCGCGGCGCTCGAGACACTTCTGATGGACGTTTGCTTGGGGTACATGTTCAGTGGGCAAAATACTATTGGTTGAGTCGACCGTCCCGGCATGTACCCATAGTTGTGGACCAGGCTTTGCTGACACTGGGTCCTGTGTGGGATGCGGAGAACAGCAGGTTGCTTGCGATTGGCTTCATGAACTATGCGAATTTCCACTTTGTGCGTTATGCGAATTGCAGCCAGTGCTCCTTGATGCACCTGAGAGAGGTCATGAAGGGGTCCTTCTCTTCATGGGTGGCCGTGTGGTCAGATGCTTGGAGGGAGGCTTTCACCGCTGTCGCGAGCTGCCCGGAGGACGGCATCGATGTGTGCTGGGCTGCGCCTGATGCACAGAGCTGTCCTCCACGCCCCTGCACCTTGGTGGGAGTGACAGAGGCCGATCTGGAGGCTCCTTGGGAGGAGCCCCTGGATGTTCACGAGCTGCCACTACCGTTGCCACAGAGCGTCGAAGAGCTCTGGGCCCACACGGGCTATGCAAAGGCCCAGCACTGGCAACGGCTGCTACGCCTCTGCTGTGAGCACACTGAGTCCATAGAGCCCATCCCCATAGCAACCTCTGAGATCTCCAACGTGGCGGGCCCTACACGGGTTCCTGACAGCTTGGAGGGCTGTGATAATGCCAGCACCAGGGTCTCTACACACCTGTCGGAGATCGTGAAGCTCTTTGGCTCCTTGGCAGAGCTGGTCGTGGCCACCTTGGAGGTCCCCGAAAGCAAGGAGCCGCATTGCTTGCGCACGTGTCAGCTTGCTTGCTCGCGGCAGGATGTCAGCACATGTCAGCACCGAACCGTACTGAACCCACTATAGATCCAGTAGTAGTATAGTGTTCAGCAAGTCCCAGTCCAGGCACCAAACAGTACAAGACCACGACGAATACCTAGCACGCGTCACGCACTCACTGTGTTTCAGGTACCACAGGCGAAGGCAGTTCTGCACTTCACCATGATCACACGCGTGCCTGCAGCGGCAGCGCGATTTCGAACCAGTGCTCCTGGCTTCGTGAGGAGCATGCGCACAGGACTGGGAGCCTGACACGTGCGTGCGCGCGGGACTGAGGTGGGAGCGATTTCGAAAGTCGCGAAGTGCCACTCCCCTTATGAACACCGAACTACTCAAGCGCTAAAATGTGCTGGCGAGAGCCACGGATTCTGTCGCAAATGCCGAAATGGCACGTGATCTGGCGCCGTGTGACATCATTCGGGGTGTTTCCTCAAGAAGATCATCGAAACCTATGAATCCTACATCGAAAGTGGCACTCTGCCACACCCTCTGGGCTCCATGAGTGCCAGTAGTCTCGGTAGAGCGGGATCTAAAGCTTCCTCGGGCACTTCTACGCCAATATTGCTTGAAGTTTTCTAGGAGGAGCTTGCTGTGCTGTGGCAGCTGGTGGAGGGTCAAGCGCAGCAACTGCAGTCGAATGACCCTGTAGCGCCTGTGTTCCTGAAAGCCGCCGTCGCCCGATTTTGGAACAGCTTCAGGGTTTCCCGCATCCGTGCGGCCCTTCTCGCTGAGCCTTTGGACTATGGGGAGCTGTGGGCGGCCGTCTTCCACTTCAGTGCACAGAGCAGCGTTTGGTTCAGTCTCCTCCATGGTGCGCAAATCGAGTCCGGAACCTGCCGTGCTCGCATTGCGGGCCCTGCGAGCGGTCCTGCGAGCGGCCCTGCGAACGGCATCCCCATGCCGGGCATGTCTGCAGCGCGCCTGGCGCCAGGGCTTGGCTACGAGATTCCCATGGCGTTCTCCCGGCTGTTGAAGCATTTGGTCGAAGATGTAGGCGGCGAGGGCTTCAAGAACTTCAAGCTCCGCGCTGTGGCAGTCGGGAGCGGCGGGAGCGGGTTCTTACCTTTCTCTGAGGCTTTACTCTCAGAGCCTCGCCTGGAGCTCCTCATCGTCGATGCTTCTGAGCATGCGAAGCAGGAGAGGCCTCAACAGTTTTACTAAGAGTTTCACTTAGACGCAATTCGTTTCTAAGAGTAGCGGCAGCTGTTGTCATGTGTTGTGCTGTGTTTCCCGAGGTTGCGCGGTCCCTCCTGCCGAAGCAAAACACTGGTTCCAGGCGGCTGGCGCCGCTTTGGGGAAAACGCCAAGTCCTCATGTCCACCGACAGAAGCTCGGCTTCCTCAGCCGCTCCCAGCATGTTTCTTTTTGGAGCTCAGATCATAGGTGTCGGATCAGACTGGGAATTCACAAAGAGTGCAGCTTGGAGCAAGGATCGAATCAGAGCATGTCCGCATGGTGTAAGCATCTCCTGTCATGAACCATCTGATCTCTCATGAGAACAGAGTCCGACTCCTCGACGCAGCGGAACCTGCGGAGGGAAGCAGCATCAAACCGAATCAAACCTCGAAGGCCCGCAAGAGGACCCTGACATGAACCCGGGAAGTCAAAGAGAACAATCACACAAACAGGCCCTTCAGGGCCTTTGGTAATTCCTGCGACAAGCCCAGGTGTCACTGCCAGCTCATGGATTCAAGATGCCTCTCTGGATCTGGTTTGCATCGATGCTGACCACAGCTATGATGCCATAAAGGCTGACCTTTTAGCCTGGGCACCCAAACTTCGCAAGGGAAGAATTCTTAGTGGCCTGGGCTACAGCAGCTCTTTCCCAAATGTGGTCCACGCGGTGCGCGAGTTCGTCGATGGCAACACTCACATGTTCTGGTTGGGACCTGACTCCTTGTGGTTCACGCGTGTGCATTGATCTTGGAAGAAGGATGGTGCGTGCGTAGAGCTTGGGGTTCCTGGGTGGTAGCCAAGGTCTAGCGACGGGCATCATTGCAGATCTCTCCGCGGTAAGATGCGGTAAGTCCCGCAAGTCCCCCAATGGGTCCCCCAAACTTTCCAATCACAAGCCGGCTCGGGTGCTCACTTGTGTTCCGCGATGGTGTTCTCCAAAGATCCCGAGATGTTCTACCACACCGGACCTGGAAGGTCTTCATGATTCATGGAACTGCAACCGAAAACATAAACAAGTTCGCGGGCTACGTGTATCTGTCGCAGCTGCTGCGCAACCTCTGAGCCACGCTGAGGGGCTCCAACAGCATGAGCGCACTCCACCGCCTTTAGGGCCTTGCACCCCTCACAAAAGGCGCCGCCTTCTCCACCCCTCCAGAGAGGCAGAATCGGGGCAGACGTGAGAGTAAGTCCTCGGCCTGTCGAGGCTGCCACGCAGCTCTGTGGCTTGGTGAAGGCAGGTTTCTCCAGTTTTTGGCCGACGGCCACTAGCTTTCATTCAGGAGGAGGAGGGTACTGGTAGCTATCACGGCATATGAGCACGAGCCCACGAAGCTTCGATTTAACTTTCTCGGAGCAACCGTGCCTGCGAGTGCACTGGACAAGTCCCAATGCGCCTCCATGCTCCCTTTGGGCAGGCGGGCCAGGCATCCTTCCAGCAGGCAGAGATTCGGCGCGTGGAGGGGATCCTGGACAACTGTGAGGCGAAGTGCGCTTGAGAATCGGCATCGGCACCCAGTGGCACCGAGTCGGCTTCTGTTGGCTTTCGCACACACTTGTTTTGGTTTCTTGAGCTGGCGAATGCTGGCGTGCACGGCAGGCCCAACGGGGTGTTGCAGGATGGCTCCGCTTCGCTGCCGCTGAAGCCCAGCGCCTCTGGCTGGAAGCCAACGAAGACCTCGAGGCCGGATATTGATGTGTGAGGTGTGGCATGCCCATCTCAGATCCTTTCAGATGAACCAAGCAAACATTTGCAGGTGATTCATAGTGGAAGCTTGTGCTGGAACCTTGTGCCGCCCAAGACTAGATAGAAGGTTCGTGAGCGCCGGCTCCAGCGCGAAAGGGCCATTCACGAGGTACGTGAATCTCAGCGCCAGGCTCACGGAGTTGAATGGTGGTTAGCTTCTGATGTCAGCAGTTTCGTGTGGATGCATAGAGAAGAGTACTGCGCATGCAGCTCCACTTTGTGGCCCTAGCATTCTGGCGGTAGCAGAAGCTAGGCTCCAACGAGTTGGGGGAAGGTCTAGTGATTTAGTCTAGGGTCGGGGCTTGGGTTGTGGCGTACTTGGCGGTCCCGTCAGGAGCAGCAGCAGCGAGCGCAGGAAGCGCTACAGGCGGCCGAGGAGCTCAGGCCATGCCCCCGTATTTGGGCTTGCAGAGCAGCCACCGCTTGGAGTAGCGGGAGGCGTTGGGTTCGGTACACCGCCTTTACCCCATACACCACAGACTCGTTCGTCAATGAGGGAGCCACTAGCAGCTGACGTAGACATGGCAAACCGAAAGCTTATCAACAAGTCCTCTGTGTGAAAGAGATCTTTTTGCAAGCTTGGCAAGCTTTGCAAGCTTGGCAAGCTTTGCATGCCAGGCTTCAAGGCAACGATGCTTTTCGGCAGGGCCAACTCCCTGGCAACGCTGCAGCGAAGCAGCACCTCCTGCAGGCGGGACTCCAGAGGCCTTTTTTGTGGAAAGCTGGTACATTGAATCGCAGACTCGAGCGATTGGGAAAATTGAGTCCCTGGATGGAGCTTGCGGACTCGACCAACAGACCCGAGAGCAAACTCTGCGTGGCCTTGGCTTTCAACTTCCCATTCCCTTCTCCAAACACAGCTCTTAGCGTCAGCAGCCGCTGATGGGGCCTGTATACACCCTTAAACCACCTTCATGACCAGGCCGTTCCAAAGTCAACGAACAAAGCGAATGACAGGAGAAAACTAAAGCTAAGCCAAGGTTGATCGTGTACGCGCAAATCATTCTCTGAGTTCTCACACCCTTCTAGTCCAAGGAAAGTTCGCGAGCTAACGCTTTTACAAAAAAGAGCACGTTTTGCGGGCGAACGTATATATCATCTGATTCGCGCGCCATGAGTCAATTTGCCTTCCGCGCCCCAACATGATCACAGCATCGTACAGTCTTGAGTCCTGAACTTCAGAGTCTTCAACCTCAATGTAGAAGCACTCAAAAAGCGCGGAATCCTGAAGGCCCCAACTCCTTTAGCAAAGTGCGATGCACCAGGCCGTGGAGCTTTATGCCGAGGCCATCTGCGCGCTTTCCAGGCATCCTGGTCGAGACACCTGAAATCACCGCAATGCCTCCGTCCTCTCGCCCAGCAGTGGACTCGCCCCCGGAGGTGCCTTGACGCCGGACTGGCGCAGGTGCCCGATCTGGTGCCTGGCCGGAAAATGTCGATGGGAGACGGGGGGTTGGTGTGGAGGAGTCCTTCATGCACACGAACATCTGTTACGTCGGCTCGACCTCCTAAGCCCCGCTACGAGTAGGTCTCATGTCGGGATTTTGTGCCCCATCCTGACCGGAAACATCGCTGGCAGCCTACGCTTCAAGCAAGGCCCCACCGAAGCCAAACAGCTCTTGTGGTGAGAAACTCCTTGGTGCCACAGCTCCACAACCGATTCTGCCGAGGCTGCCGAGGTTACCCGCCAGCGAGGGCTGCTGAGGTCCAACGCAGCGCAGGCGTATTGGGCTTCTGCGTAAAAAGGCAAGAGAAGCAAGGAAACGAATGTACATAGTTGCGTATAGTTATCATTCTAGCGATGCATATTGATATTAATATTACCAACAAAAAAACACGTAGCACGTGTAGATTTATATATAGTCAGACATGCATATGCAGTGTACAGGCCTACATGTGCGTATAGGTGTACTGCATTCCGCTGTCGGGCGTGGCAGAGCTCCATTTTCTTCAGGTCGAGCTTTCAGGCCAACGCTGGGCGCAAGCAGCCGTGCTGGCGTCGGCGGCTTTGGAGGAGCCCAAGGGTTCAATGCTCTCCCCTTCCTTGCTAGGGGTTTCGCAGCTTGACTTCATCGAAGCCGCATCCTTGTAAGTAGGTAGGCAGTACGGTATTATCAGTATGTAGGCAGGAAGGCAGGCAAGAAGGTAGCTCGATGGGTACGTGGCTTTGAAGTCTGGGGGGAAGATTGATATCGTTGCAGAAAGCTGTCCTTGCAAATCGGCGTAGATACATGTATGAAGCGCGCGCAACGGGCATGAGGGTGGATGCACAAAGGTCAGTTGCCAGGAAAGATTATGGCGTGTTCCATCCGTTTCCATCCTCATGCAGAACCTCGCCATGCATATCATGACAAAAATGATCAAAAAGGCTTGAATGCAGCCCTCAGGGAAGACCGACAGCGTATTGTCATATGCTTGGGGGTGGCGCGGGCCAACGATGGATCCCGCGGCGACGCAAGCCCTCGGAGTCTCAAGAGACAGTTGAAGGAACGGACACAGAGGAATGGCCAGGAATGGCCAGGAATGGCCAGGCAGATTTAGGTGTTCAAGACTTAGATCGGCGAGAGCACGGATCTCAGTCGAAGGATGACCCGGCATCTTTGAAGTCGCAGCATCGCCTGGCCAAAGCACAGCTGGGAATGGGCGACTGGAACAAGGCCTCTGTTGGGCTTCGGCTTAGTTGCAGCGCTGTGTTGAGAGACTTGACTTCGGGAGATTTGGGCCTTGTCAGCCGTCATGTAGAGCATGCGCAGATGAACAGTTGTGGAACCGTTGCGACGTCATTGGGGGCCCCTTTCTTGCTGTCTCTCGACGATTTCTTGCACAGGCGGCTGCAACAGTAGACCAGGCCTTGCTCGAGCTCAAAGGTGCCTTGGCAACTCATGGCACTCAGAATCTTTGTAGTGGCTAGCAGCTCCTACTTCGTTCTTACTGGGGATGAACTCGGAGATGGTTGGTCATGTCGAAAATCCGGCATTGAGTGTTGCCGGCAAAGAGCGGTGCAGCAACTGCATACGGTTCTCGGCATACACTGCGCCAGCGTATGCTGCGTTCTGAGCAGGATAAAAATTATATTCCCAACCCCCCACCTCCTCCCATTTGGACAAGTCATGTGAGCGAGCGGCAAAATTCAAAGCTGCTGCCGCGGCTTTGCAGCTGTTGTTATCGCTTTTGGTATTTCGCGTTATCGCAGGCCAGCATATCATGATCCCGGCCGGATTGTCGCTGATTTTCAGTACTGGCTTAGTACTGGAATCGAGGTTTTCATGATCCCGGCTAGACTGTCGTTGATTTTCAGTACTGGCTGAGTACTGGAATCGAGGTTTTCATGATCCCGGCTGGATTGTCGTTGATTTTCAGTACTGGCTTAGTACTGGAATCGAGGTTTTCATTATCCCAGCTGGACTGTCGTTGATTTTCAGTACTGGCTTAGTACTGGAATCGAGGTTTTCATGATCCCGGCTGGTTGTCGTTGATTTTCAGTACTGGCTGAGTACTGGAATCGAGGTTTTCATGATCCCGGCTGGATTGTCGTTGATTTTCAGTACTGGCTTAGTACTGGAATCGAGGTTTTCATGATCCCGGCTGGATTGTCGTTGATTTTCAGTACTGGCTTAGTACTGGAATCGAGGTTTTCATGATCCCGGCTGGATTGTCGTTGATTTTCAGTACTGGCTTAGTACTGGAATCGAGGTTTTCATTATCCCAGCTGGACTGTCGTTGATTTTCAGTACTGGCTTAGTACTGGAATCGAGGTTTTCATGATCCCGGCTGGATTGTCGTTGATTCTCAGTACTGGCTTAGTACTGGAACTGAGATCTCCATGATCCGGCTGGATTCTGAACTCGCAGTCTGACGTTCTGCAGCCTTATCGCTTTTGGTAATTCACGTTATCGCAGGCCAGCTTTCTCAAACATGGCCCTTGTACCAGGAACGTTATCGCTTTCACCATGCACAGTTCCTGTTCAGAGTATATTGCCTGTCGCTCATGTGGCAGTATCAGAGGAGCCACAGCCTTGCATAGCACAGCCGGGTGATGACAGCATGGGTTTCGGACCACTGAAGCTTGTCCAAGTGTGTTCCCGAATTGAGACAGGGATGCTTCAACCTCGCTTTTTGGGTAACCTTGAATTCCTAGGCTCTTCAGGCTGTCTTGACTCCACCTGAAACCATGAGCTCCCGAAGAGCAGGCCAGCCTGCTGGCGATCGCGAAGCCTTTACTGTAGAGCTCTGGAAGCTGGCCGAGCAAATCTCCGAGCAGCTCCGTCCAGAATCTGGAAGAACCAGGTCGCGATAGGTTTTCCAGCCTAGGCGGTCGGCGGATTAAGGATTTCTCGAACATTGGCCACGCCTGCCATTGCTTGTGACTGCTACAGCGAGAACAGGGGTCTGACTGGCACAGCGGGAGACGCCAAGACTTCGCCAAACTCCAAGGAAGCTGCCAGAGTGGGTCTGGTCTGCTTCCAAGCCCGAGCAGAGGAAGGCGTCGGCGCAGGCGCACCCATCTTTTGGCGTTCTGTTATGTTGAGGGCTGCTAATTGCTTGGTCCATACCTGCCTGGAACTGCAGAATCACTGCAGAAAGTGACACAGAAGCTTGATTTAGTGTAATCAGAGCGTGTTCACAACTTAACGGCTCTGAAAGAGGGTGAGCTATGACGGCTAGCTTGGGAATCCCTCTCCACCTGGCACGCACCTCGAAGCGTCCAAATTCCTGGAGGATTACGAGAAGCGGCTCGTTGGATGGTGGGAGTCGCCAGGCAGCTCTTTCGAGATCAAGCTCGAGCCCTGGGGTGCCCTTGTCTTCAAGGAGGACGGGGGTCGTGTGGATTTTGGGCACAAAGCTACAAAGCTACCCCGAGAACTCCGACCAAAGGCCAAAGAGAGCCCTTGGCGCAAGAACGAAGGACACCCTAAAGATCGAGCTCATGCAGAAGAGCCAGCTGCGCTGGCGTGGGGAGGCAGCTTTGCGATACCGATACCTGTCAACCTGTAAATACCGTGACTTCAGATTGCTGCAGATGCCAAATTCTGTAAATCCTTGAGACGTGAATGTGCCGAAAGGCACCCATTTAGAAGCTTCAGGGTGTTGATTGAGCTTTGATCAGCTTTAATCCTTTTCAACTCTTTATAGCGAAGGTAGAGATGATCTCTGGCATGGTGCTCAACCTGTCCTATGAGTGTCTTGGACTGCCACTCTACGACCCCTGCAGCCTACGGCGTCCTAGGGCGTCCTAGGGCGTTCTACGCCTTGTTCTTACGTGGCATGTGACATCATGCGAGCAATGGATCAAGAGAAGCTTTTGGGTGCTTTCCTTGTCGACCACGTCCATCACCGACGTGGTTTGCTCTCCTGGTAGCTGGCAATAACCGACAGCTACAGCCACTTCTAAGGCCCGGGAGCGACGTCCTAGTGCTGGAGTTCATCCCGCCACCTGCTGCCCGGCTTTCGTTTGATTCTGATGGGTTGCGGAGAGGCTTTGTATCCCCCATCCCAGTAAAAATGGATTGCGGTATTCGGCTTGAGAGAGGACTTCATATGTTGCAACCCGAAGGTCTCCGGCTTTAGAGCTTGGCAGCTATCCCGAAAGTTCCCTTAAGGCGAGAAGCTTCAGAGCTTCAGGGAAAAGCGAAGCGAAAGGGCTTAGAGGCTTTTAGAGCTGTAGAGTTTCAGGCCAAGTGGATGTCAGAGCTTCAAGGGCTTCAGCCTTCTCGTGAGAACGTGAGTGTTGGGATCCCGGCTCAAAGAAGTGTGCCCTGGGCTGCGTAGCCAGCAGACCCCCCAAGAGCGGAAGCAGCACTTCAAGTCGTTGAGCAACCAAAGCAACTACCAGTAAAGCCTAAGCTGAGCATGGGCCAGACTGAAAATGGAAGCGTCCACATGCACAGCTGCAACAATCACAGCGACCCTTCAAAATGACCTCAGAGCGGAAATCCTTGGCTGATTAGATGATGAGACCTCTAAGCCTTGAGAAAACCGCTCTACAGTCGGAAAGCGAGACTGCCTCCCAAGTCCAAAGGAGATGCCAGAGAAGGACCAGTGGAGTGGCCCCAGGCGCTTCACGGCCACGCGGAAGCTTGGACCCTGATTTCGGGGCTGTCCAAGATGTTTGTTGCGTCTGGTTGCCAGGCCCGGTTCACCTGTTCGTCATCCTGTTGTGCGGCATTTTCGGCTATATCGTAGCTTCATTCACAGAACTTAACCCTGATTTTGAGAATGTCAAACGCGTGGTCGAAGCTGTCAGGAAGGCCGCGCCAGCCACCAACAGTGAGAAGGCCGAGAAGGACAAGGTGGAGACGGAGGCATGAAGCAGCCTTCATCAGCGATGAGTTTGTTGGGTTTTAGTATTTACGTATTTCCCACCCCAGCGGCATCCGAAGCAATCGGCCGCAAAGCCCAAGCCGGCTCGACACCAGTCTTCAGATTTCGCATGATTTCGCCGGTGAAAGCCAGGAGCCTGCGCCAGAACTCACGCCAGAGATGCCTGCTCAGGAGGAGGCGGCACCTTTCAGACTTTCGCTGTTGTTGAAGAGGCCACCAACAAGCACAGGGGCCTGAAGGCCGAAAAGAAGGATGAAGGTTCACATCACGTCCCCAGCAGGATTCGGAGTCGACGGGGTCTTGCACAAGCGACCTGCAAGGAGACCGCCCGCGCCGCTGAGGAGAATGCAAAAGCAGAGAAGAGTCTGGCGGCACTGCTTGCCGAGGCACCCAAGGAGGCACATCGGGGGGATGTTTCGGCGATGCGTGTTTTTTTTGGGTTCGGGGGGTGGGGGGGGGGGGCATTTCTTTGTCCCGGTCAGGTTGTCATGCACACGATCCCCGAATTAGGACGCCAGATGTGTTTCCCTTCCCTGCCATTGACGGAACATGCTCCCTGCAGCCACTTGCAAGCCAGCGACTGTATAGCAGTCTTCAACAGCCCTCAGCCCACCAAACTCGGATATCAAGGATGATTCAATGCAAAACACGAGGAACCGACCAGACATTTTTCAACACCTCCGAACACCAGAGTACTTCCGACCTCTGAACACCAGAGAACTTCCGAAAGGTAGCTTTGTTGACATAAACTCCAAGCACATGGCTCGCTCGCGCTCTCCGCAGAAGCAATCGGGCAAGCGCTCTCCGAGGAAGCACTGCTATGGCAACGTTCGGTGGTACAACGGACGACGCCAGACTGGCCTTATCGATGCGGAGGACGGCAAGAAGGTCTTCATCCCAGTGGGCGGAGCTCTGAACAGGAACTGCGTGCCGGCAACCCCGGGGGGCCTGATGCACGGCACTCGCGTTGTCTTCCGGATTGTCTCCTTTCTGGACCCGGACAAGCCGAAAGACAACGTCCAGCATGGGTGCACTGATGTCCGGCCCACGGACCCGGACCAAATAGGTCTGGAGTGCGGTGTCAACACACGAATAGGAGGAAGAGCCGTCAACGAAGACCGCCTCGTTCACGCTGATCTCTACGATCTGGGGTTCCTCGCTGGCGTGTTCGATGGACACGGCGGACAGCGCTGTGTTGAGTATGTGACTGCTCGCCTTCCCGTCCTGATTCGTGAAAGCTGCGAGCTTTCTTTCAGCAGCCTCGTCGTTTCCCATTTTCATACTTTTGCCTCAGCCTCCTTTGCCAACGCCTCCCCAACCCCCACCCCCGCCCTTCCACCCCAAAGCATCCGAGGCTACCTCGCATTGGCTCAGCAGCTCGGAGGCATCAACGCCTTGACTCCGAAAGAGGACTGTGCTGCTGGGTCGGTGGCTTCCCGGCACAAGCAAGCTGCTGTAGATACAAGCACACTTTCATGAACCGTGTTGAGCTTTGTGCGGCATATCGGCAGATTCTCCCCGACTCTGGAAGAGATCGGTTTCCCGGCATGTGTTGGGCACAAGCAACTCAAAACCCTCGAAGGCCCCGCGCCTTGGAGCCGAGTATTGTAATCAGTTTTCTCGCAGAGGAGGAGCAGCTGATCGGCGTCGCTTGCCGCAATGCTTTTGTGCAGACGGACTCCGAGTATCTCCAGAAAGCCCGCGATCAGCATCTTGGTCAAAAGAGGTGGTCCGCTCTAATCAGGGGTTCTCCATTCTTGACAAGCTTTTCGAATCGTCCTTCGAATCGTCCCTTGTGCCTAGGCTGACCTTGATGCAGCCCAGCCTTACTGCAGAGGGTCCGGTGTTGTCTCGATTCCGGGACCCCCCTGAAGTCCTGTACGAGTCGAGGCATCTGAATGATGGCTCGACGGGTCTGGTGGCACTCCTTGCCCATGGCTTCGAGGACGAAGCAGAGGCCCCTGCACGTTCGCTCGTGGAAGGCCGGAGTTTTGCTGAGTTCCTGCTTCTGCTTCTCTCCATATATGTCTTTGAAGAAGTGTACGGGTTAGAGTCAGTTAGAGTGTTAGAGAAAAGTGATGAGAAGTGCAAGGCTGCAAGCCCGGGGGCTGTGCCAAGCTCTTTGTGGCAAACTGTGGCGACTGCCGCGCCGTGTTGTTGCGCGGGAGGAAAGCCATCCGCCTGACCCAGGACGCAGAAATTCTTGTTAAGTTGAGAGAAACGTCTACATCGCGAGTTCATGAAAATAATCAATCCGCTCTGCGTGAAGCTTGGAGCCAAGCTAAGAGAAGGTAAGCTAAGCAGCTAAAGGGGAAAAGACGAGCGCGATGAGGATCACAAGCCCGAACGGCCCGACGAGACGCAGCGCATCCAGCAGGCCGGTGGCATCGTGATCTCCACGCCCTGCGGCACCCACCGCGTGGGGCAAAAGCACGGCCAGTGGCGGCTCAGCTCTGAGTAGCAATCCTTCGACTTCAGACATCCTAGCTTTAACAGATTTAAAAAATGACATCGTCTCCTTAGAGTGTAGGCATCCGGTTTTTGTCTTTGTTGCTGAAAGGATTTTGGCTGTGATTGGGGGCTTCAAGCGTTGCCCCCGTACAGGTCTAGAGTCTTCGCTCAGGTTCCTTTCCACCTCCCGCTCCTTCGGGGACCTCGAGCTCAAGGACGGGGGGGGGAAGCGGTCAGATGCGGGGGATGGGTTTCCCGAGTTGTTCAGGCGGCTTCGGACTTTAGACGAGAACAGGAGAAGTATAATACTGGCAAGAAGACTGCCAGAATGCAGAGGCTCTGCTCTCGTAGATGACATTTCGGTCAAGTTTTTCTTGCGCACTCTGTGTGAGCCTGAGAGCGCTCATCTTGCGTTTTGGACTCTGTGAGGAGCCGCGGCCGCTCGTCATCGCAGAGCCGGAGCTAGTGGTCCACACGCTCGAGCCAGAGGAGTCTCAGGGTTTTTCGGGAGATTTTCGTGGGAGTCGTCTGCAAGGAAGTCGTCTGCAAGTCTTCTGCACAATGCTGCTGTGAAGTGCAGGACTGGGCTCTTGTTCTGGCTTCCGATGGCGTTTGGAACGGTCTTTCGGACCAAGACGTCTGGCAGGCCGTGTGGCAGGCGACTTGGGCACCTGCACATACGCATGTGCCAGCTCGAGCCCTACAACTTAAATAACGTAAACAATTCTGCACTCGACTCTGAAGACGGACTCTTCCCGCCGCATCGCCCTGATTCGCCCTTATTCGCCCGTCCAAAGCTCGTTTTTCATGGGGAAGGTGGTTGCAGTCGAGCGCAAGGGCGCCGTTGTCGCGGCTCAGGCCCGCTTCGCCGGCTTTCTACCTGACTAATAAGAATTGATTTGAGAGAACTTGAGACGCTGTTTTGTGAAGGATCTTCATTGGTGGTCCTTTGTGGCTTTCAGGGTTCAGCTTTCCCGAGAACATCCCTTGCCATGGCAGAAATGCCCCGGAGGCCGAAGTTTCCAAGTATGGGGCTGTAGAGTCACAGAGGCTAACGGGTGACCTTCACTGCAAGGAGGTTGGTGCCAGAGCTCATGAAGGCGGCTCCAGCGACAACGCCACGGTCTTCGCGACATGGCAATGTTTGTGAGTTATTTTTGTGTGGTCTTACACGGCTGTCAGACAAGGTGTTGCAAACATGCACTGGCTTTGTGCAAAGCAACCTGAAAATGGCGGCGTAGCTCTCTTTTTTCATTCCAGGATCCGCATACGTGAAAGGTTAGAGTTGGATATGCCGCGGGGTTGATCTGATAATCATAATCCACAGGCAAAGCAAGCTGTACTGTAGTGCTCTGATGCATGCAGGTGATACTTCTTGTGTCGCAGGACGTTGCAGTTGTGTGCATCGATCTGAGTCGAACCCCTCTTCACACCCGGAGTCACACGCCTTCCCACTTGCCAGAAGGGCCCGAAACGTTCCTCAGGATTAGGAGGCGTTTTTGCGGTTGCAAAAAAAACACCACATGACCTCTGCGGAAGGTGATGCGGTTTGGATGGGCTGCTCCCCCTTCCCAAGTCGCTTGAGAGGGAAAAAGACAGCAGCTCACGGCAGCTCTGTGTCCTGGGGCTTTGGGCTTTGCCAGGGCTTTGCTAGAAGGCTTAAGGCTTGGGCTTGCACAGGGTCTTGTCGAGGCTTTGCTATGACCCTCATTGCCAGTTGCAACTCTTGAAGCATCGCATGTGAGCTGTGTTCTTTGTTCTGTTTTTTTGGGGGGGAAGTCAGGCATGTACGGTTCGGGGTCGCTTCCAAAGCCATTGGGTCGGACTTGAAGCCTTTCAGGGTTGACAGGGTTGAGGAGAAACTGGAGACCCGCCTCCCCATACCCTGGTGCGAAGTCAGAAGTCCCCATCTGTACCAGGAATTCCAAAACTCTCCCGTTGTGTTAAAATGTTAAAACAGTCTCTCCTTTAGCTCCAGAGTTGGCTTTGCCTTGCAGGTGCTTCTATCGGGGCATGCAGCCGTGGACGGACGGTACATTTTGCAGAATGAGGCTGGTACTTGCACAGCCTCCAGGAGCATGTTCGTGTTGCATCTCACGTCCACGGAACCAGAGAAGCTGAGCGGACACATGTGGACACGTTTCAGTTTGGTATTCGTCCGTCAACCCTCCTGCTGCTGCAAACTCATACATCGCAGTATCGCACATGCTATTGCTAGTTCCAACCCTCTTGCTGCTGCAAAATTCATATTTGCCCATATGTGCCTGGCCTTGAATGTTCTCTGCCAGAGCACCACGTGGCAGCTGTAGGCCCAGAACCAGCGGCCAGCCTACCGCCGAGAGGACGGAGTTTGTGGCAGTGTCCTGAAGCTTCAGCTTGAGACAGGGTGTTGCAGGGGAACAGGCGCTCAGGCGCCTAAGTGGCAACAACTGGATGCTTCTTCTCGGGCTTGGGGCATCAGGAGAGCTTCAAGGTTCCGGCGTCTACGTTCACCCAGGATAAGGGCGCAATCGGCTCGCCACTTCGAGGAAGTTTGACAAGCCCAGCTTGAAGCACCAACTCCTGCACAGGATGGTTCCGCTGAGCGCTTCCTGTGGTTCAGAGGCAGATGGCTTGAGGTAGCAAGCATTTCTTTCCTGGGCTACTCGTAGGTGGCGATTGTGCGTGTGGTAGTTAGATGTTAGATGTAATTAGGTTTCGTTCTCTTCCGACAAAAGCATCCCCGCATCATCCCGTCTTTTCATGCGGTCTGTGGATGCGCAACCTTTAGCGGTTTGAGCCGTTCTTTGAAGACCAGTGTTTTGTTCGATGGCCACTGGGACCATCAAAAACCATCAGGCCGAGCTGTAGCAGGTAAGCTGATGCGTCTCTAGGAGGACGCCTCACCTCTGTGATCTTCAATACACTGACGAGACCTCGGCCTTGCCCTTGCTCTGATGCCTCTGACGAGGCGGGAACTGGGGCGTCACCGACGCGCTGAATGCCTCGGCTCTGGCAGCGCCCTTCCTCGCGCCGCTCGGAGGGCACCTAACGCCCGCAGGATGAGCCTCAGCGCTCCAAGAGCCAGTGGACATGTGATTTATCCTTGAGGTTGTTGGTGAGATCTTGCGAGATCTTGCCAAGCAATTTTCAGTTTTCAGCACGTTCTTGGCACATTCTTCAGCGCACTGGGGTCACCTGGTTGCATTTTCACAGGCGCTGCCCGGACACGGCGCTTCATCCGCTGGCATTGCGGCGTCGGAGCCGACGCACGTTTCAAGCAAAAGCCGATGTTGGAGTCAGGCTTTGACAAGGGTGCTTGTGATACAGGGCATGAAGCACTTAGCCTGGCAGGCTCTGTTCTGCAGCAATTCTCAGAGTTTTGTGTAGGAGAGAGTCGTTTAAGTGCTGAAGTGCGAAGCTCCGCACACCGTGCCCTCAAAACCCAAGGCCCTCAGCCCCTCTCAACCCCCAAGCATGCCTGGACAATTCGGTGCTTTCACACTTCAGACCATTGTGATGAGCGACATCACGTATCTTCGTGACCCCGAAGCGGGAGCAGTTTCCTGGGGTCCCCATCTGCAGCGGTTGGTGAGCCATCGTAGCCGAGGATGGTACGTGCGAAGCGGGCGTGGCCAGGAGGCAAGGTTGGCAGGTTCTCTTGTGGGCGCTTTCACAGGGCTCTTGGAGTTGAAGGTAGCTGTCGGCGCTGGGAAAAGAGGCAGCGCGGAGGTTTCATGATTCTGGCTGCTCTGCCGTGGCTACTGTATGGTGATCATAGGGCAGCCACGAAGTCTAGCTTGAACACCACGACTCTGTCTCCAGCGAACCTTGCTATGTCTGCTATGTACTTGTGTCTCCGCTTTTGACTGTGGCCTTTGCTGCAGGACGTATCCCCTACGCTTGCCGCGTCGGAGGCAGGGGCGGACAGCCTTCCCGTCCCAGCTGCGCCTGCTGCGGGCTACGAAGGCCATCAAAGTAGGTTTTACAGGGCCTTCGCTCTGAGCACTGATGGGCAGTGAAGAGCTCTGGGCACTGCAGCCTCCACACCAGTTTCGGGTCGGAAGACGTCAATGAAAACATGGTGTTGGGATCCCACTTTGCGAGAGTTCAGGCGCTGTTATTCCGGCACCCGGGCCTTCGCCCTCCATGCCCGCTTGGGTGGCCTCGGCGGACGTCCAGCAGGAGGAGCGAGTTTGGAGTGCTCAACGCTCATACTCACATTACTCCTGGCTTGATGTGGCTTTTTGTAGCGAATGTGTCCGCTGCAGCTCCGCACTAGCTGATTTTGGGGTGGTGCGCTGAGCTCTGATGCTGGCCTTGAGGAGAGAATAGATGTTTAACAGGTTTCAGCCGAGTGTTCAGCCGGCTGGCTCTAACATGAGAGCAATCAACGAAGTACTCATGAACCGAATGCGACAATGAGCAGCGCATGAAACAAAATAGGATAAGCGAGAACATGCGTGGAACCAGCAACATCTCCGAATGCGATAGTCCAGAAGAAAGGAAAACACTCATGCGCAGAAGCTGCTAAATCGAACATGCCTGCCCTAAACTAGTTGGCGCGCTGGGGATACTCTATGGCACACGATGCGATGCTGGGATATCTGGTGGTGCACTGTTGATATTCTCTGCCCGGGATTCTCTGGCTGCAGCGCTCCATGCTGGGCTCGAAGCTGCTACCCCTGCACGGGAACGGGACTAAGGTTGTGAATGAGGTCGTTGACTCCAGTGCTGCGCTTTGGATCCTTCATCAATTCCGGCTCTTTGCTTTCAATCTTCCAATGTTAACATTGTTGTTGGGTTTCCGGGACAGCATGAACTGTATTCAGTTCTAAAGTCATTGCACGTCAAACTGCAACTGGTCAATGCTCAAGATGCCGAGCGGCAAGCCAATATGCCTGGCTTGCGGTCCCCGGGGTCGCTCCCGCCTCGAGCTTTTCTTGTTACATACAGCACCAAACCTGTAAGACAGCATGTTGTCAACAACTGATAAGATCCAATATATTGATACTGTAGGTCAGCATTGTGGCACCTCTGAAGTTCACAGCCGCAGGAGACGGAGCTTCGCGTGCTGGTGGTTTGTCAGCCCGGGCCGCCCATTAGCTTGGCATCATTGGAAGCTGGGCGTTGCATAAAGCAGCTCCTGTAAAACATGGCCCTGTTTTGGTCGCAGGTCTGAGTCGTGGCAAACCACCGCTGATGCTCAAGCCCTGGTTGTTTCGTAGACGAATAGGAATCCTCCCAGCCCAAGCTACAGGCTGAGCAGTGCAAGAACTTATTGCTCCCACGTTGTTTCCTGCTTTAGATCATGCGCGCCTCACCTTCAATTGGCCAGCCCATGATGCAGCCGAGGACATGTCCACGTCCGAGCGCGCCTCTTCAGCACAGGGCCATGAGACCTCAGGTGGTGCCAGGGAAGCTTCCCTGTCCAACTGCCTCGGTGTTTTAAACGGTGTTCCAAATCAAGCGGCAGTTGATGTAGTTCGAAGCAGTCCCAGAGTTGTGTGACAGGTCCATATGTGCCACGCTTCTGTTTCCGACGTCTTGTAGAATCTGGCAACAGAACGTGAAGGGATGTGAAGGGATTTAGAGCCTTCAGACTAAGAGGTTGAGTGCTTCACGTGTGGGTCTCCAGTGGCCAAGGCAGTGTCCGTCTTTCCATGCTTGGCCAAAAGGAGGCGCAGCTGGGGAGCCAGGGCCTAGGGCCAAACGTGTTCGAATGTACGATTCTGCAAAAGAATTTTGTTTCAATCAGTTGAAGAACAATGTGTTTTTTGGGGGGCAGGTGCTGGAGCTCGAGCTGCCCTGCGGCATCGACATCCTCGCCAGCCCTGGAGCCAGGTGGAACTGTGTCGAGCTAGGGATGTGGCGCTTAGGGTGCCCAACGCACTTCGCGGATGATGCAGCTACTGTAGGCACAGTTGCAGGCCATGTCTCTCAAATCCAAGAATCCACCGACCCGAGAGATTGTTCGGGAGCTTCGGGCTGTGGGAATCTTGGATCCTGGGGATGACGACTGCTGAAAGGTAGCTTTCGAGTTCAGTTCAATTCAGGAAGCGCACAGAGGCCCCTTCATTCTTGAATCCGTCAATTTGTGAGCTCGGCACCTTCGACCCTGAGAGATGTGCCCAGGTGGTCTGAGAAGACGCGCACACTCAAAGTCCGCCTGCGCATGTCCTGAGCCCGCCCGAGTCCATCCCCCAAGAGTTTTTTTTGGCAACTTTGCAGAGGCCAATGGACTTTCAGTAAGGAGTGCCGACGCCGCACAGCAAGGCAAGTGCCTAGTCTAATCGTACTCAAAGCATTAGGGGCCTCTTCGGCCTGATTCCTGTGGTCACCCCCGCCGGGCGACCATGTTTTCCTGCAGGATTGAATTCACATCCGGCATCATACGGCGCAAAACTAGGCGCAGAGTAGTCTAGCGACAGAGCTGAATGCGTTTGCATGATCCTCGAGACAAAGACTATGCTCACTTTCTTTCTTGATGCATGCTCTTGGCTGTTTTCTCGCTCGTTGAAGTGGTGCTTTAGCAGTGATCGGCACTTTTGCAGGAATGTACTTTCCTTTCCACAAACAACAAAGCCGACATGTTTGAGGACTTGCATCGGCCATCTGTGCCTTCATCCACATTGCACGTTGTAGAGTCCCCAGCAGGAGAACCGTTCAGCCAACCTCTGCTTGTTATCCGTATTCGGGTGCTCAAGGCCTTGGGATTCCAGAACCAACGGGGAACTTTGGTTTTGGACGTTGAGGGGTCTGCTCGCGGAAAGCTTTGAGGGATAGTCCGCTTGACACGTCGCCGCGCCCGAGACGCTGCGTTTGGTCCAAGACGCACCGGGACAGATGGCAGCCAAACAGAGAGCCAGCCAAGAAAACGCACAACAGGACATGATGATGCCTAGCATGCGCCGTGCCACGTGGGGTCATGGATGCGTTGCTTCCAGCGTGCCTGGCAGCTGCAGCGCCGCCTAGGGCCTCGAGTGCAGAGGCCCATCGCGCAGGGCTCTAGAGTCTGGCAGGCCCCATGGCGGCCCCATCGCCCATTCACGTGGGCATCCCAAGCGCCCGCAGTTGTTTGTAATCAACCAGACATGGTCCCCGTGCCACCTTTCTTGCAGCTTTTCTTGCAGCTCAAGCCCCGTAGCATTCAAAATTCGTCAAAACCATGAGCTTGGGAAAGAGGGCCTGGAGTTTCTTTGTGGGGTTCAGGTTTGCACATGCGGGTGAAACTTGGTTTCCTGGGACTTATATCACGGCCAATCCTAAGCCCACAAGCCCCGGGCCAGGCGGGCGAGGCTGCTTTGTCAGGCGCGGGATTGGGGTTCTCGGTATTCTCGTGCCTACTTGGATCTCGGTCCTCAGAGCAAGAGCAGTGAGCTTTCTCAACTTTCTCAGACCCTGAGACGCTTTGGAGGTTCATCCGCCGAGCATGGCCCCTCAGCTATGAAGGGACTCTGGGGAACTCCGGAATTTGGGGGACTCCTGGGCACCTGCAAGCTTGGATTGCAAGGGCTTCTCAGTAGACTACTGAGTTTGCACCTGCTCTGAGCCCACTGACCTACTGGGCTTGATTGCAATTTTCGACGTCTGGCGTCGGTTGAGAAGCCCGAAGGCACCAACAAGCACGGGGGTGCAAAGCTTCCTCTGCAGAATTGTTCAGGCGCACCTGGACCCGGACTGCACTCTTGAGAAGCTGCTGGATGAGTGGGTTGACCATCGTCACTTCGAGGACGATGGCTGAAACAGTCAAGTCTGTCAGAAACGCCAGGATTTGCTCACTTAAAGAGTGAGCTCCAAATTTGGCATCTTGTGGCCAATTGGTTGGTAGTCGTGGGGCTGTCCTGGAAGCTGGTGGAGTTGAGGCTCCAAAGACGCCAAAGCACCAAGGCGTGAAGCCATGTACGGCCGCAAGATCTTGCTTGTCAAGGCGAAGGTGATTTTCTGCATGAGCAGGAGCTCATCAGAACTGCATCCAGCCAGGTCAGGCTGTTTCAGGAGTGGCGCATGCAAGAGGATCTGGCGGCCGTGTGGCCAGGGCAAGGCAGAAGTAGGCTGGGTGCAGCGGCACTGGTCGCATGTGCATGACAATTTCCAGGAGGGCACAGTCAGGCTTCTGCTCGATGTGTCCGTGGCGGAAGTGTGGAACAGCAGGGGCACAGCACCAGAGAATTGCCCGCCTTCTCGAGGAAAGTCTTTCCCTCGTCCCATACGTTGCCATGTGGCGATCATGTGGTGTCCGTCCAAGACTCTGATTGAACCTTGACTTGCTAGAGGAGACCACGGCACATGGTGCGAGTCGGTGTGACGTCCAAAACGCTCATGATGCGTCCGCATCATTGCAGCGCTTTTCTGCTCATGGTTCGTTTCGGTAGCCTTTTCTCCATTGACGATGACTGACCTGAATGCTGTAGACTGTCATCAGTTTGTCATTCTCGATGACAGCCATTCCAAACACTCATGATGTGGCCGCATCTGGACACTGCAGGAGATCGATTCCACCCAGAGCTTTATCGAGCGAGAGCACGAGAAGTTCAATCAGGAGCCTGATGCGGTAGCCCTCAGCATGGACTTCGGAGTAAATCAAGGCTTCGGCTGGCTCCATCTGAGCTTGCAGAAGTGGTCTTTCTTTTGGATTGAGCAATCGTGCTTACCAGCCAAGAGGAGTGGATGCAGTGGCAATTACGGGTCCTGTCGCAGAAAAGTGGGGCGTTTAGAGGGCCACATTGCTCAAGTCTTCGTAGGCACTCACAGTACCCATGCATCATCATGCTGTGGGTGCCAGAGGACTGAACGTGCCAGACGGTCAGACTTGTTAGCAAGGTAGGAAAACATTCAGACGGACAACTGCCGCAAAGTCAACGCGGAGTTGCAGATGGGAATTAAAGAAACGAGGATTGGCACTCTACGTGCGTGTCCTGAGAACCTGCGTTGTCAGAACCCAAATCTCCCACCGGAAGTGGAGGACAAGCTCACTGCCGTGAGCGCGGACTTCCAGACAGCAGGTCGTGGCACTGGCGGACGCAGTTGGCATGCCACGAAGGCGATGTAAGTTCGCCGGAGGTTTCGGGTTGTAAAAGTTTCATGAACGGCTTCATGGATGCAGTAGCTCAGTAGCAATTGCTGGACTTGAGTGTCCAACATCCCCGTGCAGCACGGCCATTGGCAGGCGCAAAGTGTGATGGTCTCCTTCTTCCTTCGCTTCCCTGGCGAGCAGACGGATGACCCCAGGAGCGAACAAAGAACCTTTTATTTGCCTTTTGGTTGAGTTGGATAAAGGTTGGGAATGTCTTCTGAATTCAGAGCCTGAAGGTTGCAAGGGTTAGGGGTACCCGGTTGATGCTGCCAAGTATCGTTAGTGTTTGCGACAGACTCCGTCTGAAAGTAGGTCCCCGATTCGTGGCACAGATGTTGCCCTCGAACTCACGAGCTCAGGACTTTGTCAACTCCAACGCCCCCAACGTGACCAAAGTGCCCAGGTTTCTCCAGTGGTGTGTTTTTTTGTCTTATGGAACACGGGCTGCTACTACAAAGATAGGATAACTATGCTATACTAGGCCACACGATCCTTTCAGCAAGAAGAGGTGCTCCGACAATGTAACGGCTCTGTCTGCTAGGTCCTGGCAGTCGCTGCAGTCGACACTCTGCAGTGGGCCACAGATGGTGCTCAGACATTTGGTATCAAATGGCCCAACGATGTCGTCGTGGGAGGCCACAGCAGTCATCCGCAAAGCATGTTCTCGTGTTACTGTGGGGGGCTATGCTGATGCAGCCGAATCTCGATCTCCACATAAGCAGCTCCACATAAGCAGCATTTCTGCTCTCGTTAACAACGGCATCTTCATGTTGGAGTCTTGTCCGCACAAAAAGTCAATTGCAGAATTCCGGCTGCTCAGCACATGGTTAAATTCTGAAGCGAAAGTGCCCAGCACCACGTTTCTGTGGCTCCCCAAGCGCCAGGCTCAACAGCCTCGATCCTGCCTTTTCACTCCGCACTAAGCTGGTAATTCTGGTGGTCAACGGTCTTGCAGTGTCAAAGCTCCAACAATTGACCCAACTCTTGTACGACAAGTGCTGGGAAAATGAGGTTCTTGCGATGGTTGAAATTTGCAACACACTGCAAAGCATTGCAAAGCATTGCAAAGCATTGCAAAGCATTGCAAAACATCTCTACTTTTGACAATGAGTATTGGTCCTTCTTACCCGCTTGGACCTCAACTCTTGGGTTTGCAATGTGTGAGAGGCTGCAAGATTGGAGGCATCCTCGCACGGGCGGTGCCTTTCCGAGGGCGTCTAGACGGAATCATCGTGGGCATCGGCCTCAACGTCCTGGCCCTGGAGGGTCGCCGAGTACTTTTTGCGCAAAATCTTGTCTCTTAGAGACCCTCCCCCGCCCGAGACCATGGCCAGGTCACGCACAAGTTTCAGTCGACTTTTTATGGGCTTCTGAGACTCTGTCATCCCCTGTAGACTGAATTCCAAACTCCAGCGCAACAAGTGAAGCGCACTGCTCCAAAAAAAAAGCCTACTAATAAAACTAGCGAAAAAGCCATGCACAGCCTGCGCCGAGCAGCATCCACCAGTGGGATCCCGCGTTGTTGTACCTTTTTCTCGGGTCCCGGACCTTCAGAGGTCAACACCTCGCGAGCTGACTTGGATGCGCGCCTCGGCTTAGAAGTTGAGAGGGCTTCTTTGGGCTTCCTGAGTGCTTCGGCTAAGTCGCGGCTAAGGCGGCTAAGGCTCAGACTACAAATGCAAGCTTCCGGTTGTGCTTGTCAGTAAGCAAAGCTCTCGTTCGCTGAGTGCAGGGAGTATGGGCTATGGGTGTTTTGCAGCACTCGTCGCACATAGTACTCCGAATCGGGCTGGCCAGGTGGCTGGAGGTTGGCCTGCTACCGCCTGCTTTCTCCATTGTTTCCGTGTTCCTATATTTTCACATCATTCGCCTAAGCCCAACATCAGATTCCACATTCACCATCCTACCCCGAACCTCAAGCAATTCTCTGCCCAGCATTGCCCGGCCGGTGTGGCCCGCAACGTCGCTGTGGGCGCTTTGCGGACGCGACTTTGATGTCGCGGCCATCCGTCGGCGGCTGGTGGGCACCTTTGCGATCGAACTGAGGAGGCGCGCGCTTGCACACCAGACGTAGTGACTTCGTGCAGACTTCGTGCATACTTCGTGCATACTTCGTGCATACTTCTCGGCACCCGCTTCTAGGGCTTGGCAGGGTTTTGGGAATCTTGGGAAGTGGCGGTCGCCCGTGCCAGGCTTGACCTCGGTAGAAGTTCCCGTAGCTCGGATTCCAAACCTGTCAGAACCACGTCTAGACTTTCGGACGTTGCCCTTCGTCTATGTCCCTCCCTCTACGTGTGTGGTGGAAGTCTTAAGGGTTTTCAATAGGGGAAGACGAAGGTGCGGCATGGGCCCAGGATCTCTTGCGGTCTCTTGAGGTCTCTTGAGGGCAAGGAAGGCTCCCAGAAGAGCCGGGAGTTCCAAGCACCAGACTCGCTTCCTCAGCCTTTAAGTAAATTTAAAGAAGATTCTGGGAGAAACATATAAAAAGAAAGAGCCGAGAGCCATCCTTCAGATTCTTCATCACTGGCTTCGCCGGTCTGCGCGACCGAGTGAACGGCTTGGATGTCCTCCTCGGCACTGAGGCGGGAACACCTTTTCCGATCTCTCAACACTACGTCACATCCAGCCAGCCACGAGCTGGACCATCCTGAAGCGAACCGTTCCTGAAGATCTTTTCTCGTAAAGGGCCTCCAACTGCTCCAAGGTCCTGGCAGATTTCTAGAAAAGTGGCCTTTGAAATTGGTGCGTAAGACGTGTCCCTATCAGGCCTGTTGAGGTGCTCCGGGTATCTTTGCCGGTGCTCCACGTTTCGGGTTCTTGCCAGGTTTGGTTCCGAGTCCACGAGTCGGAGGGGCCATTCCATTGCTCCTTGGATTTTTCAGATTCCCAAGACCGGGCCATATTGTTTCCCTGTGGAAACCCGTAGTGGAGCAGCAAGCCCTGAAGAGACAGAGTCGCCCTCGAAGCCTGAGCAAGCCAACAGACACTGAAGAAAGAGGAGCACGAAGAAGCGCCTCTGACCCCCTGCAAACGGAGGTGTTTTTGAGGGCATCCAGGACTGCATTTCGACTCGGTCAGAGTTTGGGGCTGCACTTAGAGACTGAGATCATAGGCCAAGCGGGCTTTTGAGAGTGGATGGCAGGAGGATGGGCTCATTCTGCTTCGGCTGGACAGCGGAGAAGTGCACCTTGGGCCGCAGCAGATCAAGGCCGTCCATATGTTCTGGAGCTGGGCTCTTGCGGTTCAACCTGTTCAACCTGTTCAGCATCCAGCCAAGGAAGGCCTTTCCCTCGGGGGAGATTGTCCCCAAGCCGGTTGATCCGACTGATGCGAGCCGAGTGGCAAAACTCTGAGGATGTGTCGACCTTGCGTTGGGGGTTTTAGGGGGTCAGTCCGGAGTCTCCTAGTGCAGGGGCCTTGTCAGCCCAATGTGACATATCTGGGAGTCCGAGAAGTACATGCATGTGATCCATGCAGGGACCCTGAATCAAAAGCAACCAAACTCTAGAGCCCTTGTATGAGTTTGCTTGGAAATCGCAAGCATGGCGCTTCAAAGTTGAGCAGATTTGTTCAGCACTTACAAGAGTTTCTGCCCGTACTTTGGGGTTGCAGGGCTGCCAAGGATGACAATGCTGCTGCATCGGGCTCGCAGATTTTGTTTTGTCTGCCCTGCCCTGACCCGGCCTGTGCTGGACGCCGCTTTTGGCAGGGTACCCGGAGGGAAGCTCTGCTCTCAACGTGTGCATATACAAAAGCACCCTTTGGGGCAGTCCATTTCGAAACATGGGGCGTTGCGTGGGCCCCTCAAGTCCATGCATGGCAAGGCGCAGTTGTGCGGTTGAGCAACTTCAGCTGTCAAGGACGAATGCTAGTTGCAGGTATGGACGAGGCGACAATCCGTTTTCATCCCGAGCTCCCTAAACTCCCTCCCTACAGCCTGCCCTGAGGCCCTGAGTCCCTTCACTAGTACTCGCAGAGCTACAACTGTTCTTGGCCCAGGGTTGTGCACTATGCGGTGCCTCTGGCAATTGGCCATCGTTGCTCTCAGCATAGGCCGCCCAGCCCTTCCATTGACACATGACGTGGATTTGGCAAAATCTCACTCGTGAGGTCTGGCAAGGTTTGGGTTTGGGGAAGACGGAGCGAGGTCATGGGTTTCAGACTTTTGAGTGCACACCCTCGTCCAGTCGTCTACAGTCCCAACCAGCTAGTGGGCAGTTGCAGAATGGATTTGTGTGGTTCCTCTCACGGCAGTAGCAAGGCGAAAAAGACCACTGCTCATCTCTTTCGTGTCCGGAGATCCACATGTGCCATGTGCTCGCAGGCCTGACCCGCGCCGAGGAGGATGCGGACAAGGTGGTGGATGGCTTCAGCGACACGGACCGGGCCAAGATGGCCGAGGGCTCCGAGAAGCACGAGTTCCAGGCGGAGGTGAACCGCCTGATGGACATCATCATCAACTCGCTGTACACCGACAAGCAGGTGTTCCTCCGCGAGCTGATCTCGAATGCCGCCGACGCGCTGGAGAAGGCGCGCTTCCACAGCGTGCAGGACGAGACCTTCCTAGGCGACACCAAGGATCTGGAGGTGAAGATCGAGCACGACCCCGATGCCAAGACGATCTCCATCATCGACACGGGCGTCGGCATGTCCAAGGCGGACTTGATCAACAATTTGGGTACGGTGGCCAAGTCCGGTACCACAAACTTCTTGGAGGCCATGGCCGAGGGAGGCGATGCGAACCTCATCGGCCAGTTCGGCGTGGGCTTCTACAGTGCCTTCCTGGTCGCTGACAAGGTCTCGGTGACCTCCAAGTGCAATGATGACCCGGTGCAGCACGTTTGGGAGTCCTCCGCAGATGCCTCCTTCACGGTGGTGGATGACCCTCGTGGCAACACCCTTGGCCGAGGCACGCGAGTGACGCTCCACCTGAAGGAGGACGCGCACGACTACTTGTCCGAGGACAAGCTGAAGGAGAGCGCCAAGAAGTACTCCCAGTTCATTCAGTTCCCCATCTACGTGAAGGTGAAGAAGGAGGTGGATGCGGAGGCCGAGGAGGATGATGACGATGACGACAAGGATGACGAGGAGGAAAAGGATGATGTGGAGACCAAAGATGAGGAGGAGAAGGAGGAGGAAGACAAGAAGCCAAAGAAGAAGACCGTCTTCGAATGGGAGCAGGTGAACACTCAAAAGGCCATCTGGCTGCGAGCCAAGGAGGATGTGACGGAGGAGGAGTACAACGAGTTCTACAAGAGCATCTCCAAGGACTACCTCGATCCGCTGGCCTACACGCACTTCAACGCAGAGGGCGAGATCGAGTTCAAGTCGATCCTCTTCCTCCCGAAGAAGGCCCCCTTCGACATGATGGACAACTACTGGACCAAGAAGTCCGAGGTGAAGCTGTTTGTCCGCCGCGTGCTGGTCGCCGAGAAGTTCGACGAGCTGCTGCCTAGGTACCTGAACTTTGTCCGAGGTGTCGTGGACTCAGATGACTTGCCCCTGAACGTGTCCCGCGAGCAGCTGCAGCAGAACAAGATCATGAAGGTTATCTCCAAGAAGCTGGTGCGCAAGGTCCTGGAGCTGATGAAGAAGCTGGCCAAGGACGAGGAGTCCGGTGGCGATGACGAGGACGAGGAGAAGGAGGACGAAGAGAAGGAGGAGAAGGAGGAGAAGAAGGAGAAGAAGGATGAGGAGGGCCTCTGGAGCAAGTTCTGGAAGGAGTTCAACAAGAACCTGAAGATGGGCTGCTATGAGGACGACTCGAACCGCTCCAAGCTCTCCAAGCTCTTGCGATTCTTCACCACCAAGTCTGAGGGCAAGGAAGTGAGCCTGGACAAGTACCTGGACCGGATGCAAGAGAGCCAAGAGAGCATCTACTACATGTCCGGTGAGTCCCTGGAGACGATGAAGAAGGCCCCCGCCCTGCAGATCTTCCTGAAGAAGGATCTCGAGGTCCTGATGCTGCCCGACCACCTGGATGAGCCTTGCCTGCAGAAGCTGGCGGACTACGAGGGCAAGAAGTTCGTGTCCATCCAGAAGGCCGACGTCAAGCTGGACGAGACCGAGGAGGAGAAGAAGAAGTTCAACAAGATCAAGGACATGTACAAGCCCTTGACAGACTGGTGGAAGAAGAAGCTGACGGACCTGACGGAGAGCGGGGCCATGAAGGAGGCCGGGGTGAAGGTGGAGAAAGTGGAGGTCTCCAAGAGGCTGACGGAATCGCCCGTGGTGGTGGTGACCTCCCAGTTCGGCTACTCCGCCCAGCAGGAGAAGGTGATGAAGTCGCAGGCCTTCCAGAACAAGGAGCAGCTTTCCATGATGGCCGGCCGCAAGACGCTGGAGGTGAACCCCAACCACCCCGTGATTGTGGACCTCCTTGCGAAGGTGAAGGCCAGCGAGGGTGACGAGGCCGCCGCCAAGACGGCCGAGGTGCTGTTCCAGACCGCGCTGATCGAGTCCGGCTTCGAGATCGCCGACCCCTCGGCCCTTGTGAGCCACGTCTACAGACTCATGTCCAAGGAGCTCGGCGTCAACCCCGATGCCCCCCTCAAGGAGATTGAGGTGCCCGAGGAGGAGGAGGAGGCCGAGGAGGAGGACAAGGAGGACGACGACTCCGAGGAGGACTCCAAGGAGGAGAAGGAGGACCTCTGAAAGGCTTAGATTCTTTAGATTTTCGACTCTGTGTCGAAACATGTAAATGCATCCGAGGGTGTGGGCAGAAACTGCTCCATAGCACCCTGCTCCAGGCAAATCTCTGGGGTTCGAGAGAGACGGCGAAGTCAGTGGCAGTCGCAGTGTCTGTAGTGCCTAGGTTGTGCAAGAGACCACACACCCATACGGGTCACCAAGCAGTTGCCACAAGGCGGCTGGCGAAAAGAGAGAACTTCGCTCACGTTCGGGGTACATGCAGTACAGACACCAGGCGCACTTCTTGCGTGGCAGTCAGTGCCAAGCTCACCTGCAGTTTGCACATGCAGGGCAAAGAGTTTCGTGCGGACTTCTTGTTCTTCTTGTTGTGTCTGTGTAAAGGGGGGTGTTGGAGATGACAGCACGGCATAGACAAATGTACAGGATTTCTTTAGTTTTGTGTTTTCGTTTGAAGGTGTTTGGGTTTATCTTTTTATTTTGTTGTAGTTGCTTAGCTGCTCTGAGTTTTTTGCGTGTGTTGGCAAACTTCCGAAAAGCTGTCCTGCTGTGGTGTAATCAATTTTTGGTTGTCGTATATCATACAGGGCACATTTCGAGAGTATTCCATGACAGACTAAAGGAGCAAGACAAGGATTCAAGTTGTGAATAAAGGTCCATGGCACAGGCCCAGAAAGCCAAAAGAAGGGCTTTTGTGTCCATGCCTGGGAATGAACTGCTTGTCCTCACGCCTTGGCTCCAAAGATAGGGGTACCGGGCGGTTTTGTCCAGCGGCCTGCATCATGTGAGCAACTTACAAGGGGTTCTACTCATTTTCTCGTTTTTTGCGGTCGTCAGAGGTTTCAAGGCGGGTCACACGTGAGACGTTCTCCACGTTCTCTGTGCGGATTGGATTCTCCCAACCCATCCAGCCCGAGGTTGCGGGCCTGGTTTGTCGGCCTGGCCGCCGTGGCCCTTTGTGGCCAGGTGAGAGCGGAGGATGCGCTGCTATTTCAGCAAGGGGGTTTAGCGGATAGCTGGACAAAGCTAAGATCTCTCTGCGCCATCAAATGGATTTTGAGTGCTTTGTGGTTGTGATGGTTTACTTCTAGGGCGCCGTCATCAAACTGGGCTGATGTCATGTGTCAGGCAAGGGAAGTGCTGCATTGTCGATTATCTCTTGCAGGTGGTTCCTTTAAGACGGATGTAGATGGAAACAAGCCTTGTGAGTTGTGATCGATGTGAAGCAAGTCTAGGTAAATCTTTGGTGAAGAGGAGTGGTGACGGCACACCTAGACTGACAGTGAGCTTCCGAGGAGGATGCGGACAAGGTGGTGGATGGCTTCAGCGACACGGACCGGGCCAAGATGGCCGAGGGCTCCGAGAAGCACGAGTTCCAGGCGGAGGTGAACCGCCTGATGGACATCATCATCAACTCGCTGTACACCGACAAGCAGGTGTTCCTCCGCGAGCTGATCTCGAATGCCGCCGACGCGCTGGAGAAGGCGCGCTTCCACAGCGTGCAGGACGAGACCTTCCTAGGCGACACCAAGGATCTGGAGGTGAAGATCGAGCACGACCCCGATGCCAAGACGATCTCCATCATCGACACGGGCGTCGGCATGTCCAAGGCGGACTTGATCAACAATTTGGGTACGGTGGCCAAGTCCGGTACCACAAACTTCTTGGAGGCCATGGCCGAGGGAGGCGATGCGAACCTCATCGGCCAGTTCGGCGTGGGCTTCTACAGTGCCTTCCTGGTCGCTGACAAGGTCTCGGTGACCTCCAAGTGCAATGATGACCCGGTGCAGCACGTTTGGGAGTCCTCCGCAGATGCCTCCTTCACGGTGGTGGATGACCCTCGTGGCAACACCCTTGGCCGAGGCACGCGAGTGACGCTCCACCTGAAGGAGGACGCGCACGACTACTTGTCCGAGGACAAGCTGAAGGAGAGCGCCAAGAAGTACTCCCAGTTCATTCAGTTCCCCATCTACGTGAAGGTGAAGAAGGAGGTGGATGCGGAGGCCGAGGAGGATGATGACGATGACGACAAGGATGACGAGGAGGAAAAGGATGATGTGGAGACCAAAGATGAGGAGGAGAAGGAGGAGGAAGACAAGAAGCCAAAGAAGAAGACCGTCTTCGAATGGGAGCAGGTGAACACTCAAAAGGCCATCTGGCTGCGCGCCAAGGAGGATGTGACGGAGGAGGAGTACAACGAGTTCTACAAGAGCATCTCCAAGGACTACCTCGATCCGCTGGCCTACACGCACTTCAACGCAGAGGGCGAGATCGAGTTCAAGTCGATCCTCTTCCTCCCGAAGAAGGCCCCCTTCGACATGATGGACAACTACTGGACCAAGAAGTCCGAGGTGAAGCTGTTTGTCCGCCGCGTGCTGGTCGCCGAGAAGTTCGACGAGCTGCTGCCTAGGTACCTGAACTTTGTCCGAGGTGTCGTGGACTCAGATGACTTGCCCCTGAACGTGTCCCGCGAGCAGCTGCAGCAGAACAAGATCATGAAGGTTATCTCCAAGAAGCTGGTGCGCAAGGTCCTGGAGCTGATGAAGAAGCTGGCCAAGGACGAGGAGTCCGGTGGCGATGACGAGGACGAGGAGAAGGAGGACGAAGAGAAGGAGGAGAAGGAGGAGAAGAAGGAGAAGAAGGATGAGGAGGGCCTCTGGAGCAAGTTCTGGAAGGAGTTCAACAAGAACCTGAAGATGGGCTGCTATGAGGACGACTCGAACCGCTCCAAGCTCTCCAAGCTCTTGCGATTCTTCACCACCAAGTCTGAGGGCAAGGAAGTGAGCCTGGACAAGTACCTGGACCGGATGCAAGAGAGCCAAGAGAGCATCTACTACATGTCCGGTGAGTCCCTGGAGACGATGAAGAAGGCCCCCGCCCTGCAGATCTTCCTGAAGAAGGATCTCGAGGTCCTGATGCTGCCCGACCACCTGGATGAGCCTTGCCTGCAGAAGCTGGCGGACTACGAGGGCAAGAAGTTCGTGTCCATCCAGAAGGCCGACGTCAAGCTGGACGAGACCGAGGAGGAGAAGAAGAAGTTCAACAAGATCAAGGACATGTACAAGCCCTTGACAGACTGGTGGAAGAAGAAGCTGACGGACCTGACGGAGAGCGGGGCCATGAAGGAGGCCGGGGTGAAGGTGGAGAAAGTGGAGGTCTCCAAGAGGCTGACGGAATCGCCCGTGGTGGTGGTGACCTCCCAGTTCGGCTACTCCGCCCAGCAGGAGAAGGTGATGAAGTCGCAGGCCTTCCAGAACAAGGAGCAGCTTTCCATGATGGCCGGCCGCAAGACGCTGGAGGTGAACCCCAACCACCCCGTGATTGTGGACCTCCTTGCGAAGGTGAAGGCCAGCGAGGGTGACGAGGCCGCCGCCAAGACGGCCGAGGTGCTGTTCCAGACCGCGCTGATCGAGTCCGGCTTCGAGATCGCCGACCCCTCGGCCCTTGTGAGCCACGTCTACAGACTCATGTCCAAGGAGCTCGGCGTCAACCCCGATGCCCCCCTCAAGGAGATTGAGGTGCCCGAGGAGGAGGAGGAGGCCGAGGAGGAGGACAAGGAGGACGACGACTCCGAGGAGGACTCCAAGGAGGAGAAGGAGGATTTGTAAGCGCAGGGCGCTGCAGGATTGCGACAGTTTTGGACGTCATTCCTAGCATTGTACATGTAATTCTTGCTTGGGAGGCGCCGATGCATCGTTTCACACCGAAGAAGATCTCGGGAAAGACCGGCCGGGAAGGCCAAAGACGTGCATGCGCCCCATCCGTTAACAAAGCCGCCGGGGCAGTGGGTGGGGGTTCTGGCAAACACAACGGATGACAGCGTTTTCTGACTTTAGTGCTCTTTTGGTGTCATCGTGGCAAAAACCTGTGACGGAGACCCAATGCCCTAAATTGAGCCCTATGCCTTGCCGCACAACTGGTTTATCGATGTCTTCAAGACGCTGTCACCGCATCTCACTGCATGTCATTTGTAGGCCCGTGAGAGAACACGCATTTAGGTGATGGTGTGGAAACCTTTCCATCTTACCATCCAAACCCGTCTGGAATTCACAGCGCGCTGGGGCTGCGGACGCTTGTCATTGTGTTCGGCCGCAGATTTTGTCTGCTCTGCCCTGGCCCGCCCTGTGTTGGGTGTGACTTAAAGCGGGGCGCCCAGACGGGAAGGAATGTCAGTCTTCAACTGATATGCGTTTGCATGATCGAGCCACGGGCCACGCCAACGAAACCAGCCCACCTGAACTCCACACCCACCTGGCCTTAAGCCTTGCAGCCTTGAGATTACCTGCGTTGCCGAACATCCGTGGTGAAGGCAAAGTTCCAACTGCAGCAGTATGGGCATGACTGAGCAGGGCTTGACTTAGCATACTGAAGCTAAGAGTTAGTTTGCCCTACACAGGCCCACCGATCAACAGATTCAACCGCTATAGGCCGCAAACAAGACACCCCTTTGATCCTTGATTGGGCCCTAAAAAGCACAAGGACACCTCCGAAGCTGCCTTAAACTGCCCTACGTCAGGCTATGCGGTGCCTCTGGCGGCTGGCCGTGATTGCAGTTGGCATAGGCTGTGCGGGGCACTTGTTTTTGAAGGGCAACATCCGACTCTCGAAGAAATTCGAAGAGAGGGTGGTCGCGAAACTGATTCTAGATACTCGGCCACTCGACTGGAGGTTCAAGCTAAAACGCAGTTGAAGCATGGGTCGCGATACCGGCATCTCTTTAGACGAGTTGTTTTGCCCAAAGGTGCTTTTTGCCCTCGACAGCCGTAGACGGGCACTCGTACCTGCCCCTGGTTTGGAACACACGGCAGTAGCAAGGGGCCAAAAAGACCACTGCTCATCTCTTTCGTGTCCGGAGATCCACATGTGCCATGTGCTTGCAGGCCTGACCCGCGCCGAGGAGGATGCGGACAAGGTGGTGGATGGCTTCAGCGACACGGACCGGGCCAAGATGGCCGAGGGCTCCGAGAAGCACGAGTTCCAGGCGGAGGTGAACCGCCTGATGGACATCATCATCAACTCGCTGTACACCGACAAGCAGGTGTTCCTCCGCGAGCTGATCTCGAATGCCGCCGACGCGCTGGAGAAGGCGCGCTTCCACAGCGTGCAGGACGAGACCTTCCTAGGCGACACCAAGGATCTGGAGGTGAAGATCGAGCACGACCCCGATGCCAAGACGATCTCCATCATCGACACGGGCGTCGGCATGTCCAAGGCAGACTTGATCAACAATTTGGGTACGGTGGCCAAGTCCGGTACCACAAACTTCTTGGAGGCCATGGCCGAGGGAGGCGATGCGAACCTCATCGGCCAGTTCGGCGTGGGCTTCTACAGTGCCTTCCTGGTCGCTGACAAGGTCTCGGTGACCTCCAAGTGCAATGATGACCCGGTGCAGCACGTTTGGGAGTCCTCCGCAGATGCCTCCTTCACGGTGGTGGATGACCCTCGTGGCAACACCCTTGGCCGAGGCACGCGAGTGACGCTCCACCTGAAGGAGGACGCGCACGACTACTTGTCCGAGGACAAGCTGAAGGAGAGCGCCAAGAAGTACTCCCAGTTCATTCAGTTCCCCATCTACGTGAAGGTGAAGAAGGAGGTGGATGCGGAGGCCGAGGAGGAGGATGACGATGACGACAAGGATGACGAGGAGGAAAAGGATGATGTGGAGACCAAGGATGAGGAGGAGAAGGAGGAGGAAGACAAGAAGCCAAAGAAGAAGACCGTCTTCGAATGGGAGCAGGTGAACACTCAAAAGGCCATCTGGCTGCGCGCCAAGGAGGATGTGACGGAGGAGGAGTACAACGAGTTCTACAAGAGCATCTCCAAGGACTACCTCGATCCGCTGGCCTACACACACTTCAACGCGGAGGGCGAGATCGAGTTCAAGTCGATCCTCTTCCTCCCGAAGAAGGCCCCCTTCGACATGATGGACAACTACTGGACCAAGAAGTCCGAGGTGAAGCTGTTTGTCCGCCGCGTGCTGGTCGCCGAGAAGTTCGACGAGCTGCTGCCTAGGTACCTGAACTTTGTCCGAGGTGTCGTGGACTCAGATGACTTGCCCCTGAACGTGTCCCGCGAGCAGCTGCAGCAGAACAAGATCATGAAGGTTATCTCCAAGAAGCTGGTGCGCAAGGTCCTGGAGCTGATGAAGAAGCTGGCCAAGGACGAGGAGTCCGGTGGCGATGACGAGGACGAGGAGAAGGAGGACGAAGAGAAGGAGGAGAAGGAGGAGAAGAAGGAGAAGAAGGATGAGGAGGGCCTCTGGAGCAAGTTCTGGAAGGAGTTCAACAAGAACCTGAAGATGGGCTGCTATGAGGACGACTCGAACCGCTCCAAGCTCTCCAAGCTCTTGCGATTCTTCACCACCAAGTCTGAGGGCAAGGAAGTGAGCCTGGACAAGTACCTGGACCGGATGCAAGAGAGCCAAGAGAGCATCTACTACATGTCCGGTGAGTCCCTGGAGACGATGAAGAAGGCCCCCGCCCTGCAGATCTTCCTGAAGAAGGATCTCGAGGTCCTGATGCTGCCCGACCACCTGGATGAGCCTTGCCTGCAGAAGCTGGCGGACTACGAGGGCAAGAAGTTCGTGTCCATCCAGAAGGCCGACGTCAAGCTGGACGAGACCGAGGAGGAGAAGAAGAAGTTCAACAAGATCAAGGACATGTACAAGCCCTTGACAGACTGGTGGAAGAAGAAGCTGACGGACCTGACGGAGAGCGGGGCCATGAAGGAGGCCGGGGTGAAGGTGGAGAAAGTGGAGGTCTCCAAGAGGCTGACGGAATCGCCCGTGGTGGTGGTGACCTCCCAGTTCGGCTACTCCGCCCAGCAGGAGAAGGTGATGAAGTCGCAGGCCTTCCAGAACAAGGAGCAGCTTTCCATGATGGCCGGCCGCAAGACGCTGGAGGTGAACCCCAACCACCCCGTGATTGTGGACCTCCTTGCGAAGGTGAAGGCCAGCGAGGGTGACGAGGCTGCCGCCAAGACGGCCGAGGTGCTGTTCCAGACCGCGCTGATCGAGTCCGGCTTCGAGATCGCCGACCCCTCGGCCCTTGTGAGCCACGTCTACAGACTCATGTCCAAGGAGCTCGGCGTCAACCCAGATGCCCCCCTCAAGGAGATTGAGGTGCCCGAGGACGAGGAGGAGGCCGAGGAGGAGGACAAGGAGGACGACGACTCCGAGGAGGACTCCAAGGAGGAGAAGGAGGACCTCTGAAAGGCTTAGATTCTTTAGATTTTCGACTCTGTGTCGAAACATGTAAATGCATCCGAGGGTGTGGGCAGAAACTGCTCCATAGCACCCTGCTCCAGGCAAATCCCTGAGAGCCCGCTGCAACGCGACCGTGGACTCTTTGGATTTCGAGTAGAGACGGCGGAGTCAGCGGCAGTCGCAGTGTCTGTAGTTCCAGTAGGTAGGTTGTGCAAGAGACCACACACCCATACGGGTCACCAAGCAGTTGCCACAAGGCGGCGCGAAAAGCGAACTGCACTTTGGGGGTAAATGCAGTGCCAGGTCCTCTTCAGCTCCGCGTTCCAAAGTTGCTTGAAATTAGCTGTGTTGGCACAAGTGAGTGCTTCGACCCCCACGACAGAGAGGAACCAAGAGGCTCCGAAGTTCCCACTGCTGCCATGCAGCCTTTGACATGCACGCGGACATCGCTCGTTAGTTGCGCTGCAACCGATAAGATGTTAAGCCAATAAGCCAATAAACCGATACAAGCCGGCACAAGCTGAGAAATCAACAGGTTGGTGAGCCCACGGGCCCGGGAAGAGACCCGGGCTTCTGGGCATGCTCGTCGTCTTTGTTGATTCGATGGGCTCGTATCATCTTATCCGTTTGTCGGCTCATCGGGGCATTGGCTTATCAGCTTATTTCGGCTTGTTTCGTTTTATAGGCTTCTGGAGAAGCCTTGAAAAACTTCCGTGAAACCTGGGTAGCCTTATAGTGCCGTTAGGCTCAGCCGGACGCTTGCTCTAGCCGAAGTCGTTTCACGGACAACAGCTTTGCTCCTCTTTTAGCTCGTCTCGATGGCGAGGCGATTGCAGATTAGTACAGTTCTCCAAGGGGGTAGCAAGGGGCTTGGTTGCTGCGCACACGGGCAGATCAACCGATGCACAACTTCTGCATCGATGCACGCACTATCACGCACATGGTTAGTTTGCGGCTTCCGGCATAGTCACTGCACAGAGCATACAGAGCCAAAGTTGAGCGGGCAGGCTCAGTGCAGCACGTTGCATCTCTCTTGGGCATTTGGTTGGTCGGGAGGCATGCCTGCCGACTTGGGCAAAAGGCCTGGCGGGCTATTGCCGCCGGACCTTGTATCTGCATAAGCCGACTTCCCGCAACCTGCTGGCGCTCGCTGATTCTCAACGGTTTCGCTGTGTTTCTGAATGCATGCTTCTTGCAGCTACATATTATTTGCAGGAACTCTCAACCATGATGATCTGCAGTTCTTGGTTTTGGTGCGCCTCCCATCAATCCCACACGGAGGTACAAATAGCAGGTCGATACACATTCCAATGGCTTTGACAGGGGCCCTGGGAATTAGTTCCCACAATCGAAGCCTCAATGGACATGGTCCTGTTTCTGTGCTCCCCCGAAGCCCTGCGCTTCAAGCCTGCACTCTCAACTTCTCCCGCCGTCCTTGGCTCCAAAGATAGGGTACCGGGCGGTTTTGTCCAGCGGCCTGCATCATGTGGCCGTCTTGGTTTGACTTCAGAAGTGGTTCTTAGATTTCTCAAGTTTACTGCGATCGTCAGAGGTGTCCAGATGTGTCAAGACGTGTCGACGTTTTGCAAGCGGCTTGGACATGTTTCCCAACCGTCCCAACCCCCAGGTTGCGGGCCTGGTTTGTCGGCCTGGCTGCCGTGGCCCTTTGTGGCCAGGTGAGAGCGGAGGACGCGCTGCTGTTTCAGCAAAGGGTGATAAAGGGTGTTAGCGGATAGCTGAACACATGTGTATGAGCGGCGTGAAGATCACTCTGCGCGAGCAAATCGCTTTCGATAATCAAACTCTGCTGATCTGATGTGTCAGGCTTGGGAAGTGCTGGAGTGTCTTGCAGGTCGTTCCTGTTAGACGGTGTAGATGTAATACAAGCCTTGCGGGTTGTGATCGATGCGAAGCATGTGTCTTGTGTAAGTCTAAGTCTATGGATTCTATGGTGGAAGAATGGAGACGTCACAGTAATGGTGACGGCACACTTAGACTGACAGTGAGCTTCCGAGGAGGATGCGGACAAGGTGGTGGATGGCTTCAGCGACACGGACCGGGCCAAGATGGCCGAGGGCTCCGAGAAGCACGAGTTCCAGGCGGAGGTGAACCGCCTGATGGACATCATCATCAACTCGCTGTACACCGACAAGCAGGTGTTCCTCCGCGAGCTGATCTCGAATGCCGCCGACGCGCTGGAGAAGGCGCGCTTCCACAGCGTGCAGGACGAGACCTTCCTAGGCGACACCAAGGATCTGGAGGTGAAGATCGAGCACGACCCCGATGCCAAGACGATCTCCATCATCGACACGGGCGTCGGCATGTCCAAGGCGGACTTGATCAATAATTTGGGTACGGTCGCCAAGTCCGGTACCACAAACTTCTTGGAGGCCATGGCCGAGGGAGGCGATGCGAACCTCATCGGCCAGTTCGGCGTGGGCTTCTACAGTGCCTTCCTGGTCGCTGACAAGGTCTCGGTGACCTCCAAGTGCAATGATGACCCGGTGCAACACGTTTGGGAGTCCTCCGCAGATGCCTCCTTCACGGTGGTGGATGACCCTCGTGGCAACACCCTTGGCCGAGGCACGCGAGTGACGCTCCACCTGAAGGAGGACGCGCACGACTACTTGTCCGAGGACAAGCTGAAGGAGAGCGCCAAGAAGTACTCCCAGTTCATTCAGTTCCCCATCTACGTGAAGGTGAAGAAGGAGGTGGATGCGGAGGCCGAGGAGGACGATGACGATGACGACAAGGATGACGAGGAGGAAAAGGATGATGTGGAGACCAAAGATGAGGAGGAGAAGGAGGAGGAAGACAAGAAGCCAAAGAAGAAGACCGTCTTCGAATGGGAGCAGGTGAACACTCAAAAGGCCATCTGGCTGCGCGCCAAGGAGGATGTGACGGAGGAGGAGTACAACGAGTTTTACAAGAGCATCTCCAAGGACTACCTCGATCCGCTGGCCTACACGCACTTCAACGCAGAGGGCGAGATCGAGTTCAAGTCGATCCTCTTCCTCCCGAAGAAGGCCCCCTTCGACATGATGGACAACTACTGGACCAAGAAGTCCGAGGTGAAGCTGTTTGTCCGCCGCGTGCTGGTCGCCGAGAAGTTCGACGAGCTGCTGCCTAGGTACCTGAACTTTGTCCGAGGTGTCGTGGACTCAGATGACTTGCCCCTGAACGTGTCCCGCGAGCAGCTGCAGCAGAACAAGATCATGAAGGTTATCTCCAAGAAGCTGGTGCGCAAGGTCCTGGAGCTGATGAAGAAGCTGGCCAAGGACGAGGAGTCCGGTGGCGATGACGAGGACGAGGAGAAGGAGGACGAAGAGAAGGAGGAGAAGGAGGAGAAGAAGGAGAAGAAGGATGAGGAGGGCCTCTGGAGCAAGTTCTGGAAGGAGTTCAACAAGAACCTGAAGATGGGCTGCTATGAGGACGACTCGAACCGCTCCAAGCTCTCCAAGCTCTTGCGATTCTTCACCACCAAGTCTGAGGGCAAGGAAGTGAGCCTGGACAAGTACCTGGACCGGATGCAAGAGAGCCAAGAGAGCATCTACTACATGTCCGGTGAGTCCCTGGAGACGATGAAGAAGGCCCCCGCCCTGCAGATCTTCCTGAAGAAGGATCTCGAGGTCCTGATGCTGCCCGACCACCTGGATGAGCCTTGCCTGCAGAAGCTGGCGGACTACGAGGGCAAGAAGTTCGTGTCCATCCAGAAGGCCGACGTCAAGCTGGACGAGACCGAGGAGGAGAAGAAGAAGTTCAACAAGATCAAGGACATGTACAAGCCCTTGACAGACTGGTGGAAGAAGAAGCTGACGGACCTGACGGAGAGCGGGGCCATGAAGGAGGCCGGGGTGAAGGTGGAGAAAGTGGAGGTCTCCAAGAGGCTGACGGAATCGCCCGTGGTGGTGGTGACCTCCCAGTTCGGCTACTCCGCCCAGCAGGAGAAGGTGATGAAGTCGCAGGCCTTCCAGAACAAGGAGCAGCTTTCCATGATGGCCGGCCGCAAGACGCTGGAGGTGAACCCCAACCACCCCGTGATTGTGGACCTCCTTGCGAAGGTGAAGGCCAGCGAGGGTGACGAGGCCGCCGCCAAGACGGCCGAGGTGCTGTTCCAGACCGCGCTGATCGAGTCCGGCTTCGAGATCGCCGACCCCTCGGCCCTTGTGAGCCACGTCTACAGACTCATGTCCAAGGAGCTCGGCGTCAACCCCGATGCCCCCCTCAAGGAGATTGAGGTGCCCGAGGAGGAGGAGGAGGCCGAGGAGGAGGACAAGGAGGACGACGACTCCGAGGAGGACTCCAAGGAGGAGAAGGAGGATTTGTAAGCGCAGGGCGCTGCAGGATTGCGACAGTTTTGGACGTCATTCCTAGCATTGTACATGTAATTCTTGCTTGGGAGGCGCCGATGCATCGTTTCACACCGAAGAAGATCTCGGGAAAGACCGGCCGGGAAGGCCAAAGACGTGCATGCGCCCCATCCGTTAACAAAGCCGCCGGGGCAGTGGGTGGGGGTTCTGGCAAACACAACGGATGACAGCGTTTACTGACTTTAGTGCTCTTTTGCTCTTGTGGTGTAATCGTGGCAAAACCTGTGACGGAGACCCAATGCTGCTGCCAGGATAGGCCCATGAGAGTCGAACATTTAAGTGACGATGGGAGGGCAGCGGGGAGGTTTCTGACAAATGCAAAGAGCAATGGTACTGTCTGTACGCACTGCATGGATTTCATGTACCGTGCCGTGACCTTGGCTCAAGAAATCTTGAGGCGTGCTGATGCCGTGCTCAACTCTCACATATGCTTTTGAAGCATTGGAGTGTAGGTCTGAACCCAACTAAGAATTCAGGTTCAACCACACGTGACCGGCCCCAATTACCAGCAAGACCCCGACGCTCCTGGCTGGAACTGCACTGCAGGGCCCTCAGCTACCATGAGGCTTTGTCGGCTTGGTTGGCTTGGTCCTCGCTAAGCTGCCGGGTGCTCTTGCCCGACCTGTACTGCGACCCCAACCACTGACCACTAGGTGAAATCAGTTGCCTTCCCCGGCCAAACTCAACATTTTGACTGGAGGTCGCTGGTGGTTGCTTACTTCAAGCCCCAGAAGCCTAGCAACATCCCAAAAATCGTGTAAGTTCCCAACCCACGCGGCAGATCCCCCACAGTGAGAGGAGAGTGATGATGAGGGATGGTGAGACATATTTTGAGACGGATGGTGAGAAGGATGGATGGGTGATGGTTGATCCTCAGCGCAAAAAGAGCTCCACCGTGAGACTTGCTGGCGATTGCCGGAGCATTCTTGAACTTACATGTGAGTGCCTCAAGGCAGTAGACTCAGTAGACCATGATCCCAGTCCGAAACTCGAGGCCAGGATGGGGCAGAAAAACTCAATCTTCGACATGAAGCTCAAGGCGAAGGCATCAGGGAACTCCATTTAAGACGCATATTGTGAAGTTCCAAGGTATTCCGCTCCGTTCTACTCTGAAGCCTTCACACCCTAAACATCCCCTAACCCCCTCCCTCCCCCCCAGTGCCAAACCAGCAACTGGCCATACTGACATACCGAATTGCCAAGCCCGTAAAGAGGATGAGGTAGGAGCCATAAGTCCTAATGAAGAAGGATGTGACGAGTTCAGAGTGCCAAGACCTAGAACAGAGAATCATCACGATCCTTCGGTTTGCTACGATGAGACAGGTTTCCAGCATTTTTTTGGATTAGGGGCTCAGCGTTTTTCGCGCGCGCTCTTTGATTGTTCTCAATTGTTGTTGCGCATGTTGTTTGCGCACTGCCTCGCACATGGGAATGTGAAGCGGCTCAGTTAGGCTCGGCTTAGCATTTAAGAGCCTGAGGGCTTAGTGCTGGACTCTTGGTGAGATTGCAGACCGCCAAGACGTGAGCCGAAATCTTCAACAGAGATGCGGCTTCTGGACATCTTGGAAACCCCCCCCAAATTTTAAACGAATGTAAAACAAGCCTCGAAGCCTCAGCAGCCTCAGCATCAGCCAGGAGTGGCAGTGGGAACTTGGGCGAGAGGCCGCTTGACCTGTTGTGGGCTCCAAGATGTGTTGAAGCCATCCAGTCGGCCAGAGATGTCCAGAGCTGGAATCTGAGTTTTCCTCCGTGCGCTCTCAGCTGCTGTGAGGCCAAGCACTTGGACAAGGAGATTGTCAAGATCCAAAAAGATGAGGCCGGCGCAGGGTGAGTGCAATCTGCTCACTGACAAAGGCCTCGAAAGGAAGGGGCCTCAAGTTAAGAAGGAGGAGAGCACATGCGAAAGAAGGGTTCCGAGTGCCAAGGCATCAGCTTTCCAGCAAATGACTTTCTAACAACTCCAGCCGCGAAGTAGCTGCGAGAGTTTCATGACATGCCGTAGCTCTCACTGAAAATGCATGCAGGCAAAGCTCCAGGATCAGATCCGACTGCAGGCACAACGGCGACTATGCTGGCAGCTGTTGTCTGTCTGAGGGTTGCCAGCCGGACCATGAGTGAGATTTGGGAGCGGGAACAGCCATCATCACCAACACAATCTGTCACATAACCGTACGATGAGATGCCCGACGAGGCCGCTTATGGGCTCCCACATTCATGGTGGTGCTCATCTCACACCCTCTATCACCCTCTTCTCTTCTGAATCATTTCAGCCATTGTTTTCGCGGACTCCTTCAAAAGTGCTTGCCAGCGCGGCGCTGGGGCTGCCTACAAAACATATGCCGGTCCTCTGCGAAACCCCCCCCTCCTCCCCCCCCCCCCCCCCCACATGCACCTCTTCCTCGGGTAGTTGCAAAGGCTAGGGCTTGCTTTGGGAAATACGATTCGAGCTGTGGGGGATTCAAGGCCGAGAAGGGGAACGTCGAAGCGGTGCAGCTTCTGGCAAAGCCTCAGCCTCGAGGTGAGTTGCAGAGGAGGGCAGTTACCCCTCCCCTCGATTTTTCGTTGCAGGCACCACATGGCCTCGCCCCCCAATATACATTTAGGGTTTAGGCTTTCGGGTTTAGGCGCCAATGCTTGTGTACTGCAACAGCAGTGTAGCAGAATGTGAGGTGGCCATGCAAATCACGGCCTTTGCTAGCTCTAGAAATGCCGCAAACGGCCGTGCTTTCAGTTCATGGTGAAAGTAGATTCCGGCAGCCGGCTGGAAGGGGCTTGCTAGGGCCGTAGGGGACGCCTTCCACTTTTTCGTCCTGGGATCAAAGGGAATCGCGCTCTCCACGCTCTTTGAGGTCTGTTGTGAAGACGCGCAAAGCAGTGCAAAGGCTGGAGAAGACCAAGGCCAGGGCTTTCTTGTTTGAGACCCCAGAAGTCTAATTTTTTTCAAATAGGGTCCACCAGAGCGCGAATTGAGGCCTCCATGGAAGCGGTGAAGCTTCAGCTCACCACTCATATGGCCTCCATCTCTACCAGCGCGTCCATTCGCCTCTCGTCGCCCAGCCCCTAGAACTTGGAGGCCTTCTTGCAGCCTTGCAGCATCACTTGGAGGATGTCGAAGGATTCCTAGAGTTCTGGTGTTGCGATGCGGCGTCGCCGGCATCACTATGACTTGAGCCGCGTGCGTCCGCCTGGCCCTGCAAGGAGTCTCCTGAGAAGTGTCACACGAGATTGAGAGACTCATCCCTCCAAGGGACGTCATGCGCAAAATGAACGCCATCGCCCGCATCCCCGAGATCAGCGAGACCATGAAGGCGTCGCACTGTTCGGCCTGGTCACGCCCAAATTGTGATGCGTCATGCAGGACATGCGGATGCAGATGGCCCAGTGCGCCGATGCCGAGGATTCGAGAATAGCGGGGCCAGGTTTGGCGGGTCTCGGGTTGGCTGCGAGGGAGCAGAGTGTAGCAGTAATCAAAGTGGAGAGTTGTTTGTTCTGAGCCGCTCGGCCTAATGATCACAGACTTTCTACAGTTCGCAACGACTCACGAGAGTCCAAGCTGCTGCAGCAAGCCAGGACAGCATCGAGGAAGCTCTGCGTGAGGATGGCGAAGAGTACGAGGCATTGGCACAGAGATCGCACATGCCGAAGCACTCACAAATCTTGTAAGCACTCTTGCGGTACGACTCGGGCATCACCGCGATGTGCTTCGACGACAGTACCTCGCACTACCTTAAAGTAACAGGCTGTTGTGAACCGAGGTAACCGAAGAATAATTGCTGTGATCAGAGCTGCTTGGTAAGGTTCCCGAACGCGAGATGATGCATGTGAATGGTGGTGTGCGGCTTTCCACTGCTAGACCGTTAATGACTGCCCTTGAGGCAGCAACCGAAGTGCAGAAGGTGCTGGAGGACTATGGCTGGGTTTGTGGAAGTGCACGAGTTGTTTGCGTTGTGTACGGGTCGAGAATGCCCTCATGTGTCCTGCAAGCGAGGGTGGAACTGTTTGGAACTGTTTGGCATCTCTGGGAGTGTTGGGAAAACCTAAGACCCCGATTATTTTTGAGCCATTTAGAGACTTCTCCAGGTTCTTGTGGCGCAGGCCTCGTGCAGCCTCGGTGCTTCCTATTCGAGCCTGCCCTTCCCTCTCTTTATTCGCAGGGAGTTCCCTCAATCCAGGAGATGGCTTTGGACCAACTTGGCCCACTCTCACAAGCAGCTGCAGTCCCCAGCGCTGGGGCAAAGGTGCAGGCGGGCTTCATGCTCGCTGTGTAAATTTCATTGCGCACCATGAAGCAAGCTGCAGCTGTCAGACTATAAGACGTCCACAGTTGGGGTCTGTGCATTTCGGAGCCTTCTCAGGGATGGGCTCAAGCTCACGTTACATTGTTCATGCACGTGGTGTCGTTCCTTTTGTCCTTCTGGAAGGTGTTGGATCCCAAATACTTGTATGTTTAGCCTGCAGTCATGTGTGTAGGGTCGTTGCGTCTCTCCGAATCTCGAAGTTGGCAGGGCCTTGGAGGAACCCCCCCCCCCCCAAACTCTCTTCGAGTCTCTCTTCCTCGTTCGATTCGTTGGGCTTCCGAGGCGCCGCCGGCAAAAGAAGCACCGCAAAAGCAGCTTATTGCCGTCGGGGCTCTGGCCTCAGCGTGATGGGGTGGATTCTTCGACGGATGCTGTGGGTTTGGTTTCCCTGCGGGAGTGGACGATGCCTGCGCTGAGCTGCTACGTACTGTGCAATGGGTGCGCTTGCACCACTGCGTCAATGTTAACAATTGGCTTCGTTTGTAGGCCATGTTCGTACATGGGCCGCAGAAGGAAAGGGGGCTGTCATGCAGACTTTCCGAGTATGCACATCGAGCCATGCCAGAATTTTCCGGCACATCTGTCAACCGGGAAGACTATGAAAAGCGCTTCGCTCAGCCCGAATTGTGGCAGAGCCGGAATGTGCTTGAATCCTCCACAGCCCAGGAATCAGCCGAGCCGGCCAAACCCCAGGTGCCACCTCCGCAGGTCTCGGCATGGGCCATATAGGGCCTACGTGTGAAAGCTTGCCTCCGAATGCAAACACTCTTCGGCCCTGGGGGCAAAATCACCAGCTGAATCACCGAAGATAAGGGCTGTTGGATTCTGCCATGTACGGCAGCAGAGTACAAATTGGTTTATGGTCTTCGGCTATCGTGGCGGGTATTAAAACGGACTTGGGAGTTTCAGTACATCCGCTTTGCCCTCGGCTACTGAACAGAACATGTGAACCGATGCACTTTGCAGCTTAGCTGCATGTTTCTGCAGACAAGCAGGGCTCTGGCAGGCACCGCAGGCACCTCCGCCGCCGCCGCCACCACCGCCTGCAGGCTATGCAGGCGATCTGCGAAGACATACTGCTTGGGCTTGAAAAGGGTATTGACGATCGCGCACAGTATGGTGGCATTAGGCTATCAAAGGGGTTCTATGAGAATCAGCAGCCATGAAGACCATGAACAAGAGTGGCTGCATTGGCTGCCCATGACGATTCCAGACCCTGTGTACATCCTATGCAGCCTTAGGTGCCCCTGCCCCGGCGGCACCAGCAGCACCGGCGGCACCGGCGGCGCCAGCCGCAGCAGCGGCTCCGGCCGCAGGTTCGTGCGGGTTTTGGGGCGGGATTGGATAATCAAGCACACATGGCGTTCTTTTGGCCATTTCGGGGCCTTGTTCGGGGTCGTGTGGTTCGGGCCTTATGCTTCCTTGCACATCGGGTCATCGGGGCACGCCAAGAGGCTTTTCATAATTCCGAGAGGTGCAGAGGACGACTTCCTGAAGCGGCTGGAAGCGGCCGCAGGCGGCGGCACCTCGGCTCCTGCCTCCGCGCCCGGCCCGACCGTACCTCCCACAGGCTCTGTGCTCATGAGCACTGCTGGTGCTGGGCCCTGAAGGGGTTTGGGCTGCACTGCAGTTCGAGAATCCCTGAGCAGCAGGCGGCAACAGCGCAGGAGGCGGGAGTGCTGACGACGATCTCATGAAGCGCCTCGAGCAGCCGCCTCAGCAGACTTGTGCCGTCTTTGTTTTTCACATGTCTACGGCGTCTACGGTGCATTGTGCTGTAGCAGGTGGAGGTTGAGGTGTCTATCTGTTGGTCGGCCTGTGTTGCTTTGCCTCTCTGTGTCAGCCTTTCGGTATTTGCATGTCGCTGCCAAGGAAATGGGGCAAGTTAGTAGTTCAGCCTCAGACGTTAAAATGCTCCCAAGCATCGTTTGAATCTTGCCATCAGGATGCTGAAGAAGCCGTGAAGCTGACGAGGACCCGGCAAAAGAAACCAACGTGAGAGGATGTTTAGCATCTTCGCGTGCTGCAAACCTTTTGGTCTTTCGACTGTATTGAATTGTTCTTTGTGAGAGGACCGTCGTGCCGATGGATACACGCAAACGAGGGCCCTTTGGGTCGCAGTTGAGGGGTTTGAGAGCTAGCAGCTGTGGCAGGAGCTAGTATTGCAGTCCTGGATGCCATCTTGCCTCTTCTCATCAGTCAGAGCATGTAAGCCCGTTTTTGGTACAGCTGCTGCACGTCTGTCGTCACTGTACATGTTCGCAAGCTGCTGTTGCAATTGAAGTAGCCCATGTGTTGTGCTCACACCCGTCCAAGGTTTGCTCTCCTTTTGGGTGGCATTGAATCTGCTGGGCCTTGCCCTAGCTGTACAGACAGAGGCAGCCTTGTGGCCTTTACTTCGCTGAAGGTCGTTGAGGTGTTAAACACCGCTCGCGGAAGCTACCAGGGCTTTCCGACATGAACTCCTCAGCGCTGCCCCCGCACCCAAAAGGGGACCCCAGCTGAGCCCAGGTTTTGAAGCAGGAATCCACAAGACCTAAACCACAAACAACGCCCCCGGAAAACGAATGGATGTGTCGGGTGAAACCAACAGTTTCAGATTGATAGTGGCATTTCCAAAACGTCTCTTCGACACGTTCAACACATTGAACTATGTGCGCGTCGTGCGTTGTCTTATGAAGAATGCGACTGCATGGCAAGGAGGGCAATTACTGTATCATGGACTGAGCATGAACTGAACAGATGCAATATGATGCAACATGATGCACTCATCTTCAAATCAGCATGTTCATTGCACAGGCCCGGATGGTCCACATGTCTTTGCGTTGGTGTTGTACCCTCCTTGCAAACTTCGTGCGAACCCATCATGCAACTAGTTCCTTGCATTTTCCCAGTAGCTTGACATGCCAGTGCCGTGTTTCTTGCGCCTTCCGGGCATGGTAAGGGATGCGGGCTCTATATGGACAAAAGCTCTTCAACCTAACCCCAAGGCCTAGGCTCTAAACCAGGTTTTCATCATCCGCTAGGGTCGCTTTAGGCATGGCGTGGCGTGGTCTCTGTCCTCCAGCGGCTGCCGTCTGCAGCTTGTGCTTTGCAAGATTGCGCCCGACTTTGAACAGCACGGACCCGATAACCGGGGAGGCCACCTCGGCAGAGTCCAAGAACGCCACGGCGGCTGCCTACTCCCGGGCGAAGCTTTTCCGAAGAGATCCCTACACGGTGGAGCGGCAGCGCAAGGTGTGTGTGCTGATTGGCATGACAGGAGTGGGCCCTCCGGCTGCATTCTGGCATGGTTAGACGGCTAGATACAGCTAGTCTGCTTAGCAAAAGACAAAGGTTCCCCAAACTCTTGTGCAAGGTATAAGACAGCGTGAACAGGTAAGAGTGCGACTGCCAACACCCTCTGTGGCGCCAAGCGCGCGTTCGAGACCTCAAGTTCCGTGGTCTCCGTGACCAGCGCCGTGCGAATCCGCGACTATTCCTTTGCTGGGAGCCGCTGGCGGGTGATCGATACCCCCGGCCTCGGAGACACCAACAAACCCTACGAAGAGACCAAGCGTGAGCTGCTGCAAGCCTTCCACTATGCACCACACGGGATTGTGTGCTTTGTCGTTGTGGTCCCGAAGGGCCGATTCACGGCCGAGATGGAGCAACGGGTACGGGAGGCGCTCGACATTTTTGGTGGCGAGGCCGCCATCCGACATACCCTTATCGCTGTGACCCGCGTGCAAGATGCCCCAGAGAAGGTCTTGGACGATATCATGCGCCTGCCACCAGATCACACCCTGCGTCGCCTCTGTGAGTTGGTGGGTCAGCGCGTTCTGCCGGTAGAGAACGTCAAAGAGCCGGCGGTGGCTGTGTCGCGGCTACTGCTGCATCGTGGCATGGACGAGGTATTGGAGATGAATGGCGAAGAGCGATACTTCCACACGGCATCCATGCCGGTCTCGGTGTCGCTGTCGGGGCGAACTGAGCTCACTGCCGAGGACCTCCTGCAGTCGCGCTGTTCCACAGCCTGGTCCAGAGAGAATGGCACTCCTCGCCTGGTGATCAGCTGCGACTTTCCCAGACTTGGAGAAGTTGTGAACCGATGAGTCATGCTCGTGGCAAGACAACATTGGAGCTCAGGCACCATCAGACACCTGCGCCTGTCCCACGAACAAGCTGAATCTTTTCTGCTGGGATCGGATATTCTGACCTCTGGCGACTCTGGCGTGGGTGACTGCTTGTGTTTTTGGGGCGTACTCCAACAGTGCAGGACACCGGTACATGGTGAAATGGCTTGAGAGGGAGCTGCTGTAGACCCATCAAAAGCGGCCAGTTTTCTAGCAGGCTGCTTTGATGGGATGGTGCATGTTACATATGGCAAGGTAGCCACAACATATGTGTAGCGTCAATGAATCCTCAACTAGCAGTGGGGACTGCCTGAATTGAGTGCCTTGTTGAAGCTATCTTTCCTTGTCGCAGCTCGGCTCCCGTGCCTATGTTGCTGAAACCTATAGAAAAAGTGGCACCGAGATTTGCACTGTCATCCGCCATCACCTTTAAGCAGATTGGGGCTTGGAACAGTACGGAGTGCGTACGGACTGCAGTGCTGCACCGAGCTCATGGAAGCGCCATGCGCCCGCCGACATCTGTCCGGTCCTTGCGGTCCTCGCTGGCCCAGGAGGTGTCTCCTACGAACTTCCGGGATCTGCTGTCCTCAGAGCTGGCGGAGGCACAGAGCGAGCTGGTGGCGCTGCGGGGCAGGCTGAAGGGCATCCGCGAGGCCACAGCAGAGCTGCGGCATCGCGATGCCGTGGAAGCGACGGAAGCGCCTCGTCGCCTGGCACGCTCAGAGGAGTTGGCAGCTGAGCACTGCAGAACACATCAAGAGCTTTGGCATCTGCAGCACTCCCTGGAGCAGGTGGACCAAATTTAAGCAATCACGAAGAAGCCGCGAAGCCAGTACCTGTAAGCCTGTCCTCCCATGCCAACGTGGAGAGGACCCTAAAGGCTTGGCTGGCAATTTGCACAGCGGCCTGTCGCTCTCCGCCGAACGTGCATTGATTTCTCGATCGTTTGGAGTTGACATTCTTAAGTTAACTTTGTACTGAGAAGGTGGAGCAGAGACACCGGGCCGTCCAGGAGGCCGGGGCCAGCGAGCTCTACGCGCAGTGGCGGGACGCTCTCCATGCACACGTGCGCGCAGGAGGCCCGATTGTGGCTTCATTCACGGCACTGCTTCTACAGAGCAAACGTTCGAGAGATGTTTTGTACATTTGGGATTCTTGACTTGGTGCCGGAGGCCTGCTGGATGTGGAGGACTTCCCGTTTGAGGCCTTCCTGAAGCAGGCGTGTGAAGGGATCAGCTTACATAAACAGCTCAGAAACACATCAATACACCTCAAGCAACTACATTTAAAGAGGTAGACACATCCATGTCAATGATGAACTATATAAATGTAAACAATGAGAGGATAAAGAAGCTGTGTGTGTGTGTGTGTGTGTGCGGGGGTGTTTTTATTTTCTGTACTGGTACAAGGTGGTTGACGTAAGGCGGCTCGCGCAGGCAAAAGGCGTCTCATCAGGGCGTCACACTGCAGTTTTCTAGCATGGCGCAGCTATCTTTATGACACGTGGGCGTCTCGCCAGGGCGTCCCCCGCAGTTTTCTGATCTGGTACATTCCTTAACCTAGTTATCTTTGGGAACCTACCATAGACCCTGTGCTCAATCTACCGCATTATAGTCTAAAGTTCTGACACTGAACTCCACACTCCCTAAATTCCGCGCAAGGTTTGCGGGGTTCCGGTTCTATGGACATTTTAATATCATAAACCGTTTGCATCGCACTGTTTGGTCGTGCATCGTCGTCCGAAACCCTATAGAATCGGTAGTCTGCACTAGGTCTCGTGTGCATTTTGCTTGCTTTTTGCTATGTTGCAAAAGTAGCTCGGCAAGGGCCTCTCCCTGGGGACTGGCTTTCCGTGGGTCGCCTTTTGCATGCATGGGTTGCCTTTTGCATTCAGGGGTGTCTACTTGGGCTTTTGCCAGCGTGGGTCGCCTTAGGGCGGGCACCTTGTAACATGTAGCATAGAAAACACACACACACACAGAGCCACACGCATGCACAATGTATGCCAAAATAGGACGGACCCGAACGCAACCCAACCCGATTCCCCCCCATGCCCCGACAAAAAGGTCTTCTTTTGCCCGATCTCGTGTGGCGTACATTGCATATGTGTATATATATATATTTATATATATATATATGCGATATAATTTTTTCTATAGAGACAGGTATGCAAGCCGTAAACCTCGGCGGACGTCGATGGCCCACCTGTCCGCCGGAGGTTTCACATGTGGTTCCCTTGACGGAGCTGGAGGACGCCGGTTGCTTGCGGTATTTTTGCAGCTCGGGAAGTGCTGTGAAATTTCGAGTACTTTAGGGTTTAGGGACCCTGATGGACCCTGGAGGCCAAAGAGAATGCCATCACAGACCTCAAGCAAGATCTGCTGGCATCGCCCTGAGCCTCATCATTGCATCGGCAAAATGCGTTGAAACTCCGGGCAACTGAGGTTTTCTGTTTTTTTTGTTTTTTTCTTGCCTTCGTTCCGGCAACCGTGCTTGGCTATATTGTGCTGCAGTACCTGTTGAGATGCGGCCGAGGTCATGAAGGCCCAGGTCGAAAATGCCCAGGAGAGCTGGTCAGAGTTCCGGGAGGTGTCGAGACTCCGAAGAAAAGCGGCTTGAACAGTGTACATGAGTGTACGATCTGCCATGGACAATGCAGGCTGCAGTTATTTTCCGGGATCGAGTGCGATTTTTTTTTTTTTTTTCACTCTCTCTCTCTCTCGCTCCTCCCTGTCTCTCTCTGTCTCTCTCTCTCTCTCTCTGTCTTTCTCTCTTTCTCTCTTTCTCTCTTTCTCTCTTTCTCTCTTTCTCTCTTTCTCTCTTTCTCTCTTTCTCTCTTTCTCTCTTTCTCTCTTTCTCTCTTTCTCTCTTTCTCTCTTTCTCTCTTTCTCTCTTTCTCTCTTTCTCTCTTTCTCTCTTTCTCTCTTTCTCTCTTTCTTCTTTCTTTATTTCTTTCCTTTTTTCTGTCTTTCTTTCTCTCTCTCTCTATCTCTCTCTCTCTCTCTCCCCCCTCCTTGCCTCTCATGTCCTATCCAGAGACAAGTATGCGAGCCGCAACGAGCCAAATCCCAGATCAACTTGTCAGCTTCAATCGCAGCAGAGGGGCAATTGCCAAAGGGAACTGCCAGAGCCCCAAACGAAAGGAGACGGAGGCCGCGGTGCTCGCCCGCAAGGCGCAACTGGCCGCTGAGTCCGCGATGCTGCGCATGGAGCTGCAGGTGGAGGGGCCTGAGGGGGCTAGGATGGAGTGAACGTTAGAATGGCCCGAAGTGACTCAACTGCCCAACTTGATTTTTGAATTTAGCATGTGAGATTGAAATAGACTGAGCGGCTCGAGGTACGCCATGGCCCAAAGTTGGAGAGGGCTTCGGTTCCAATTAATTGGGGTTGAAGTGCTGGCTCTATAGCATCTGTGGTTTGCGGGCCTGAAACCTTGTGAACATCGGAATCGCACAGGAGCAACGCGCGACGAATCAAGGTTGGGGACAGGGCCGCGTGCGTGAGCCTCGGCCTCTCTGATACGTCTGCTCGCGTGACTCGTGACTGGTACTGGCACAGGAACAACGAAATTGTCCGCATGTATCCACACTTAGTTGAGGGCGCTTTCACACAAGTGCAATGCAATCTCAGCTTGTCGTGCAGGAATCATGCTATGGTTTCACATGGTTTCGGTGTCGTATGGCATGCGGTGCTAGCAAAGAGAGGAATCGTCGATGGTGTGGGGAGATGATCATTCTGTCGTCAAGGGTTGTTTTGCAGCTTTGTTTCAAGAGATTTGACCGGTGTATCTAACAGGGCATCGTTGTGCTGGCTGAATAACGAAGATGCCTTCATTCGGTACCAATAACAAAGCGAATCTCTGAAATGTGTGCAGGGAGCTACTCACAGACCGGGACAGTTTGCGATCCTATGATGGGGTTCCAGTTCGACGACGTTAAGAGAATGCAATGGCTGCTCGTGGGTGCAAGATGCATTCCAATGTGTGGGTCAAAGATTGAGATGGGTTTCCTAAATAGCGCTCGTTTTGGTGGTGCCCATGATCAGGATTTATGTGAAGTTTATGGGAAATCCAAAGGTTTGTGCTAGCTGCAGGAGACTTCCTCTTCTAAAACGCCGCAAGAAAAATGTGATGCAGCCTCTTACGTTTATGTGTGGGGTACACAAATGGTAGAGAACCGTGCAGCGTCAACAGGTGTTCCATTGAAGTCATCTCAGGATGCTACCCAGAAGCTCCAGATCCGCGAGGAGCAGGACGCTGGTTGAACAACCGCCGCTATGTGTGAATCGGCACGCGGATGTGGGCCTGAGGTTATGCGAGGAGTCTCAGGGAACCTTCCTGGGGCGTTCTGGGAGGGATGCAAGGTGTCCAAGAGGAAGACTAGGGCGACTAGGAGACGGCTACGAAGCCTGGCTTTCTTGGGCCCACAACGTTCGGAACCCCCTTTTCCCGCCCCGCCCGAGCGACCTGCTATAGGCTTGCTGAGCAAAGTGACCTTCGTCTGAAGGCTCCTGCGCAAACCCTATACCACAGTCGGAAATCGTTCCTGCACATTTCACAAAGCCATGGCAAGCTAAATGCCTCCGAGTTGCTGGTGGCCACTGAGCACTGAGCAGTCTCCAAAACACACTGAGCCTTGCACTTGGCCTGTGCTTGAAGTTGCCACCAAAGTTACGGTTTGTAGCAAACTTTCAACCCTTGTGCTACGAAGCCTATCTGTAGGCTTCAACGCCGAGGGCCTCGCATTGCGTAGCGTCCTTCAGTGATTCAGAGGTTGTGCAGCTGCACAGGAGCATTATCGGAACTTGGGAGAGGAGCTGGAGGCAAGCGGCAAGTGCCCAGCGCCACTCATCGACTTGCGAGTTGAGATGGCTTGTAAAGCGCGTGTTGGCTTTTAAAGTGTGGGGTTCCCGAGTGTCGTCTCAGTTTGCACGTCAGGCGCAGCTGCTCAACGATGAGGAACAGCTGAGGGCCTCTGCAGCCCGGCAAGCTCCAGTCATGTCCAGCCTGTTTCTGAACTTCAGCTAGAGGCTCTTAGCAAAGCAAATGCAATTGAGTACACTGTGAGTACACTGTGGGTACAACGACATACTCCGGCATTCTCATGGTGGATTCGAGTCTGGAGTCCGCGACAGAGTCGAGGGGTGTTGAACCAAGAATCGTTCTGTGTGTGTAAGGATCAACACACTTCGAGGCTTGTCATTGGAATTGTCCTTTGTCGAGAGGGCTTCACCGGTTCTGATCAAGGTCGCGCGGCCTCGTGTAGTCTGGTTTTACTTGGTGTCCATTCGAGGCCAATGAGGGCACGACACGAAGATACACGAACCCCCGGCGAAACCTGCAAAATGCGTGACCGGGGGGGGGGTGGGGGGGTTCCTTGAGGTGCGGAAGCAGGGGGTCCCCATGCAAACCTCTGATGCCCACAGCCGGGGCCGAGGCGAATTTCTTTATTATGCACGCCCTGAGCCACGCACCTCTCAGGCAAATGCGACCGTGCGAGCCAAAGAGGAGTCTGCATTTTGCTGGGTGAGTTCAGTCTCGTGCTCTTTGCCTGACATTCCGAAGCAGTCTTCGACCTGAAATGGGCAATCATGTGAGCAACCGAAGTGTCCAGCACAGAACGCGTGACTTGCTTCAGTCCACATTCTTGTGCGAGACATTCTGGGTCTGGGAAGGTGGCTTCTCGGCTCAAAGCTCTCTGGAGCTGCGCAGCCGCCGCGCCGCCCATCAGCAGAGATGTCGCTGCTCGTCCGTTGGGCGACCTCAGGGGAGGTGGTCTTCTCGGAGGAGCTCAATGAGGGGTCTGGAAAGACGATTCGGGCCTTGAAGTTGGAGCTGTCACGAGCTTTGTCCGGCGAGGCGGAGATCTCGAGGTTCCGCCTCCGTCTCTCGAAGGACAATGACAACACGGAGATGGAGGATGATGTTGTTCTGGTCCCTCCACTCGAACTGAAGCTGGTGGTGTTGGGCCTGTGGCCGCCGAACCAGGAGCTGGATGAGAAGTTCATCCTCGCATGTGAAGAAGGTTGCATTGCAGGCGTGGAAAGAAGCTTGCGGCGACCTCAAAACCCGAACGCTACAGATACGGACGGACAGACGGGTTTGCACATGGCAGCTCAGAATGGCCACCTCGACGTGGTGCGTGTGCTGCTGGAGGCCGGAGCGTCAAGTGACTTGGCTACGGCAGATGGCACAGCTCCTTTGCATATCGCGGCAGAGAATGGCCACGTCGCAGTGTCGCAGTTGTTGCTGGAGGCTGGGGCCTCCCGCGACCCGAAGAAACCAAATGGTCAAATTCCATTGCACGTGGCAGCACGAAGTGGTCACGTTCTTGCAGTGCAGTTGTTGCTGGATGCGGGAGCATCTTGTGATCATGCTACGACCGATGGGGCAACCTCTTTAATGTTTGCAGCCGCCAACGGTCACCTGGAAACAGTGCGTCTGTTGCTGGAGGCTGGAGCTCGGTGTAACTTGGCCGACGCACAGGGCACATCTTCTCTGCATCTAGCAGCTAGCTATGGCCACCTGGAAGTCGTGCGCTTCTTGCTGAAGGCTGGAGCTTCTTGCGACTTGGTTGGTGTGGATGGTGCAACTGCCTTGCATGATGCAGCTGAGAATGGCCATGCGGAAGTGGCACGTTTGCTGTTGCAAGCCGGAGAATGTTGCAAGGTCGCAGCGGGCAATGGGGAAACTTCTTTGCAGAGGGCGGCTGGGAAGGACCACGAGGCTGGAGCTTTACCTCACCTGACAGGAACCGGTGGCACAAATTCCTTGCTTGGGGCATCGATGAGGGGCCACAGTGAAGTGGCGCACTTGCTACGGGCTAGAGTCGATGGCCTCACTCCCTTGCATTTGGCTGGCATGAATGGTCACCTAGACGTTTCGCGGCTTCTGCTCGAAGCTGGGGCTCCTTGCAACCAGGCCGAGACAGCCGATGCCAGGACCCCTTTACATGTGGCTGCTCATCATGGTCACGCCCACGTGGCGCAGTTGTTGCTTCAGGCGAGAGCATGTTGTGATCAGCCTGCAACTAGCGGGGGGACTGCGTTGCATCTTGCAGCTGGCCGTGGCCACTTGGAAACAGTGCGCCTATTGCTGGAGGCCGGAGCATCTCTCAACCAGAAGGTCAAAGCGTGTAATGATCGGTGGACCTTCATGTTCACCCCACTTGAGCTGGCTGTCGAGAAGGCGCACCTCGAAGTGGTGCGCTTGTTGCTGCAGGCTGGGGCCTCTCCTGACGTGGCCAGTTCTGGCGACGGCTCAACTCCTTTGCACTTGGCATCTGCACATGGCCAGCTGGAAATTGCCTGTTTATTGCTGCAGGCTGGATCCTCTTGTAATTGCACAACGGAGGCTGGAGAAACGCCTTTGCACACGGCTGCCGAGAATGGTCACACTGAAGTGGTACGTGTGCTGCTGAAATCTGGAGCTTCAATAGGTCCGGCCAGAACTGACAACGGCGCAACTCCCTTGCATCTGGCAGCGGAGAACGGCCACCTGGAAGGAGTGCAGGTGTTGCTTGGAGTTGGGGCCGATGTGCATGCGACGGAAGGTGGCACGGCTGGCATAACTCCTTTGCACGTTGCGTCCCTCAAAGGTCACCTGGAGGTGACGCGGTTCTTGCTAGCGGCAGGAGCATCCGCGGAGAAGGCTGAGACATGCGACGGCCCATCTCCTTTGCACTTCGCCGCTCAGAATGGCCACCTTGCAGTGGTGCGCTTGCTGCTTGATGCTCGAGCCTTTGTTGGTCGTGCTTCAGCAGATGATGAGACTGCTTTGCACTACGCTTCTTCGCAAGGCCATGCTGAGGTTGTACGTGCACTCTTGGAGGCGGGAGCTTGTGGAGAGGCTCTGACACGCACTGGAATATCCCCATTGCATGTGGCAGCTGAGAACGGTCATCTGGACGGAGTTCATTTGTTGCTGCAGGCTGGGGTGTCTAGCGACAAGACCACGACTGACACTAATGTAAGCTCGCTGCTGCTGGCAGCTCAGAATGGCCACCTGGACGTGGTGCGTGTGCTGCTGGAGGCCGGAGCGTCAAGTGACTTGGCTACGGCAGATGGCACAGCTCCTTTGCATATCGCGGCAGAGAATGGCCACGTCGCAGTGGCGCAGTTGTTGCTGGAGGCTGGGGCCTCCCGCGACCAGAAGAAACCAAATGGTCAAATTCCATTGCACGTGGCAGCACGAAGTGGTCACGTTCTTGCGGTGCAGTTGTTGCTGAATGCGGGAGCATCTTGTGATCATGCTACGACCGATGGGGCAACCTCTTTAATATTTGCAGCCGCCAACGGTCACCTGGAAACAGTGCGTCTGTTGCTGGAGGCTGGAGCTCGGTGTAACTTGGCCGACGCACAGGGCACATCTTCTCTACATCTAGCAGCTAGCTATGGCCACCTGGAAGTCGTGCGCTTCTTGCTGAAGGCTGGAGCCTCTGGCGACTTGCTCGATGTGAATGGTGCAACTGCCTTGCATGTAGCATCCGCTAATGGTCATACCGAAGTGGTGCGCACGTTGCTAGAATTCGGAGCCACAAAAGACACAGTCTTGGCGGTTCATTTGGCTGCCTCTGGCGGCTACGTCGATGTGGTACGTTGCTTGCTGGAGGCCGGAGCCGCCATGGACCACGCATTTCCAGAGGGCGATGCTTTGACCCCTTTGCATTGCGCAGCCGCGAGTGGCCACTCGTCTGTGGTGCAATTCTTGCTAGAGCGTGGGGCATCGTGTGATCCTACTACTGGCAATGGCTCGACTCCTTTGCATTTGGCCGCTCGGGGCGGCCACCTGCAAGTCGTGCGTTTGCTGGTGGACTTCGGAGCTGATCGGAATCGAACCACGACTGGCGAGGAGGCTGCGACGCCCTTGGAGCTAGCAGCCCAGCATGGCGAGGTGGTTCAGGTCTTGTGCGGCACTGACACTGGTTCTGCCAAGAGAAGGAAACGCGACAGTGTGCTAGGAGAAGATGTGCGGCTTCCACATCGACTTGCATGATATAATTTCAACATGGGCCCAAAGAGCTACATGGAGGCCGACAAGTCGCGCATTGTGTGCAAAAGGTAGTTTTTGCTGGCAGCCGTGTCCACGCGACAGGAGCATCCATTGACATGTAGATCTGCCAGCGCTTTGGGGGGCTAGCAGCAGTGACCGCCTCGGCCTGGTGGGGGGGTGCCAACACCAAACGCAGAAATTGTTCGGACTGTTGCGTGGCCCGGAAATCCAAAATCTCTGAACGCCCTCCGCCGAGGAAGCGGCTGAGCTTCACACATCGGTGTTGAATTCCGCTGTATCGAGGAGGCGGCCGGGCTAACGAGGCAGCAGGGCTTGCTGCGCCAGCGGAAAGCCGCATTGGAGGCTTCCAGACCTTGCTTTGGAAACTTCAGTTGGCTTTAGAAACTGCAGGCCGCAGACATCCACTCATCATGGCACCTGTTTGTGTTGGGGAGTATGCGTCAGTTCCTGCAGCAGGGTTTGGGAACAATCGGCGGTAACTCTAGATGGGTGACTGTGGAGACCTGCGAAGCCGGCCCAGGAGCGTGCCCGCAAAACTCAGGGGGGAGCCGCAGAGCTGCGAAAGAGGGTGGATTCTTGGCGAGTACAGTGCGGGTCATCGAATGGACTTAAGGGCAAGGCCAGCAAGGCTTGCAAGCCCAAGCTATAGTATCTACATTTGGAGCATATGCCAGTATGCTGTTTATAGGACTTGGCATGTGGATGTGCTGCGAGAGGTTCGACCTCGCTGAGCTTCAGGCTCGTTCGGAGTCCGGAGTGCATACAACAAAACACAGCCTCTGCATGGTTGTCTACGTGCTCAATCGAAGTGTCCAACGTGCAGCCCTTTCTTCGCCCGAGTGTACCAAGGAGGCACAGGAGTACGAGCTGGGTCGGCACAGACTCGTACGAGTGTGGAGCGGCAGCCTGAGGTCGCAGACATGCCAGGACAGGATGTTGCGAGAAGGATCCTGCTGCCGGGCAATCTAAGAAGATTCTCGAGCATAGGATCGGTGCAGAGCTCAACAGACGGAGGTTGGCGTAGATGGTTGAGATGTGTTGAAATCTTGTCAAGGGGGGTACTCAAGAGAGCTGATTCCCGAACGGATGCGGCATCTGCACCAGTTTTGGGGTTATGCTGGACGGGAATCACAAAGATGCCAAGGCAGCGAGGAGGCGGAGGTCAGCCGCGTGGGCCAAGAGCACCAGAACGAGGCTTTGGGGCTGGGTGTACGTGGTGTCAAGCCGATGGCTTTCAAGTCAACGTGTGTGAGACGCCATATGTGCTCCCTGCGTTTTGCAAGTGCAGGCCCTGGCCTTTCTGCGGAGCGCAGCGCGCATCCGTGCGGACACGGACAATGCCGAACAGGACAGGGGCCCAGATGTATCACAGATTGTAAGGGCAGGTTCAGGAGAGATTCGTGCAGTTGGGCGGCGTAGTTCGCACGTGTGCAAGTTTAATTTGTTGCTTCTGCTAAGGGTTGTCTGCCTGCTGCTTTCTGCTGCCACGGGCGTTTGCAACGATTCAATCCAGGCCAGGGTAGCTACATCCTCCTTCGATTGGGAAACCTCAAAGGCCTGCTAACGGATCCACTGCATATTCGGTCAGGTCCCATGGCTTGTAATGGCTTGTAGCTGCTTGGTAGCTCTTCGGTCACATCATTTGGTGATTCGGTTGGTCTGAAGGCTCTGTTGCTTTATTGCAGCAGAGGGCAACGACGCATGTTTTTCATGCCGCAGCTGCTTGCATTCATGCGCGAGTGCTGCATGTTGCGCCGTCTAGTGTTTGGCGCCGCAATACGGAATCCAGTGACCAATCCCAAAGATGCCGAAGGCTTAGCCGAGGCAACTCACAACGCGGAGCCAACTAAATTGACTGCTGTCGATTTTGGGCCACTGAGCATAAACCATGTGCAGGACGCCCCGATGCAGTGGACAAAACGCTGCAAAGCTAGATCTCAACATTTCCCAATACACCCAACTCCCCCCAATCTTCCTCTCAACCACCTTCAGCCCCCTGCAGCCCCCTGATACCTCCCCAGACCCTTCGATATCCAGCTCCGGTTCTCACCGCGTCTGCCATGAAAATTTGGAAGGGCGCCCCCCGGCGAGTTAGAGACGACCAATGGCAAGCCCAGGGCCCGCACCTTGAGAGGCACAAAGCAGCAGAGCGTCCACTTTCCTGGCGTACATACGGCCCTGCCCTTCTTCCCCCCCCCCCCCCTTTCTTCCCCCACCCTGAAATCCCGCTTAAATAAGAGGTGATGTCGGGGGGGCCACTGGTTGTTAAGCCTGCCCCATCCACAATTCGTAATGCAGGATCATCGGCTTAAGAAGTTTAAGCTGTTTAAGCGTTTCAGTGACTTATTGCGGCGTCAGACAAGGAAGTTTCACTTCGTCTACTGGGATGCTTGTGGTGGGAGCGCCGAGGGCTTTCACCTGGACCGGCCATTCTCCATGGAGGACCTGAACGCCGCTTTAAGGCTTTAAGCGGTGTGGGCGTGAGGTGCTGGGACCGGTAGGATTCCGCATTTCCGCATGTGCTGGGCCCTCTGTTGGCCATACTGGCCCATAAACAGGGGAGCTCATCTGGACATTGCAGGCACTGTAAGCAGTGGACAAGGGATCCTGGGGCCGCAAACGCAGAAACCGCAGAGTAAGCACAGCTTCTCACGAGCAACGTCGCAGAGCAGACACGCGTGAGAGACGCAGACCGCGTGAGAGAGAGAAGAAGAAGAAGAGAGAGTCGCCAAAAGCCGAAGAAGCCTTCCGGAAGGATGCTTTCGAAGGGCGGGAGCTTACAGCGGGCCCTGCTTTGTGCGAACAGTGCAACTCAGCAAAAATTAGACGGTTAGACAGGCGGCGGCTTCGGCTATCCATCCTTGATTGTTTTTGTCAAAAATGTCAAAGTCCTGCCCGCTTCGATAGATTTCCATCTGTACTCTGTCGAAGACGCTGCATTGCAGGCCACGGGGTGATGGAATCGTGGAGGCCTTGCAAATTCTCTGCTCTCTGCTTCTTCCTGCGGGGCTTTGCAGGGAAGCGGCAAGAGGGACCACACTGGCGTGAGTTGATAGGGTCAGCAGGATGTTCCGGCCTGGAGCTTGTCGGGGGGAATAGGTCTTTGACAAGAAGACAGCATTGCAACGCGGCGTTTCGCTACGAACCCTTCGCGGCAGAAGCTGGGGCTCAGGTAGCGGGCGCTTGCATCGCATGCCTCAAAACTGAAGATGGTGAGTTTGAAGCCACAGTGTCACAGTGCGCAGGCATGGCTTTGACATGATCCACGCCTGCATCCGCATGATCGCCAAAGAGGGCCAAGGCTTTCGTCCTGAGGTTCTGACGTTCTCAGCGCTGTCACCCGGCAAATGCCTGACCTACGACATCCACACGCCCCCCGGACTCGCATGACTCATTTTGGATGTCCCCGTGTTTCCTTAGAAGCACCCCCAACATCCGAATGGTTGCTGAGTTTGGCGCTTTATAGTCCCCCCCCCCCCTCAGCCCCCCCTCTTGAGGTTCCGGGCCTTCAACCGGTGGCGAAAAAAGAACGTCCTGACTGAAGCAACCATCCTGGGCCCTCCGCTGCAGGCTCGTCCTTGATTTCCTGGGAAGATCACCCAGTGGGTTGCGCTAAGGATCCCTTTATGATACAGAACAGAACTCTAGAGCAAAGGACGTGCAGGAATCGACCATGCAGGTGTGCGCTCAGGTTTGCTGTCAGGCAGAGCCTGCAGAACATAGTTCTCTATGCTGTCCATGCTCTGTTTATGGTGAGATCCCCCGCCGCTTCCCCCCAACGTGTCGAGCTCCGGAGACTCAGTCACTGAGGTGGATTGGGGCGAGCTGGACTCATCCTGTGGAGTCGAGGCGATGTGGTTTTGCACGATTAGCCTAATCGCAGGAGTTGACATCTGCATGTCTTCTGCCGCCCTCATACCAGTGGCTTGCATGGAGTGTCTTCTGGGACTACACACAAGCAATCCATCAAAGGTTTTATCAAAGGTTTTATAACTCTGCAATGTGCGCCTCACATAAACATCTGATTGAATCACATCCCAAAGACGTATAGAGCCAACTTAGGTGAAGAGCTTCGATGGTCCTGGTGGCGGAGCCGCCGGCCATTTGAAGAGATACGCCCAGCGTGTGGCGCGCCAGGCAGCGGAAGAGGAGATGAACGCACATGAATGCCATGGATGCGCCACTTTTGCGGGAGTTCGACATGCGTTTGTGGTCAGGGGGTTTGAAGACTCAGGTTGGGGTGCATGCTCTCCAAAGAATCCCTTGGCACATGCTTCCTGCATGGAGTCATACCGGTCAAAGCCGGCCTTCTGGCCCACGTTCGATTCTTTTCAGGACGGTTCGGCTGCACTCGTCGTGGTAGACCCCAAGGGTGTGGAGGTACCCAAGCTGTCAAGATGCTGCTTCAATGTGACGTGCTACAACAGTCTGTGTTGGCTTAGGCTTTGCCAGTGATTGCCGCTTGTGGTCTAGGGCTGGTGCGCAGCATAGACTTGAGACCTGTCATTTCAAGAGAATCAACGAAGTTCGCGAGCCCTGAGCCTGCAGGTCGCTTCCTTTGGTGTGGGCCGGGGGTTTTTCCCCGCTGAAGCCAAGCAGCCCCCGATACGTCAGGCGCTCTCTTTTTTTTGGATGTTGTAGTGCCGTGCAAGGGGCTGTGGATACTCAAGGATGGTGACGGTGCTTTAGAGATTTCGTGTCAGGTTTTTTGACCTTCGGGCTGCAGTGGCCAGGTTCTTGACATCTCGCATATTGCCGGAAGGGGAAACAAACTCTCCATATCCCGACATCATATGGCATATCTGCATCCGAAGGGTCGACTTTGTTGCGCTCCACTTTGACTCCGCAAGTACCTAGATACCACCGCCTGAACACTCCTGACACCCCCAGATATGGTTCATAGGCATCGGTATGTTTTTGGGCATTCAGGGGTTCGTTGCGGTGGGAGGTTGTCAAGACTCGGTTTGTGGGGAACCCCACCGAAATCGCTTGATATTTGCAAGTCTGCACGGCAAACCTCGCGATCAGACTTTGGAAAGGTTTCGACAAGCTATCAGCGAGCTCTAAGCATACACACAACGAGTCGCATGATTGTTCTCGATCACAAGATCTGAGCGAGCGCAAAGAACATCTCATGACCTAATCATTCGCATGTCTTGTTATTCCTGGCGCCCCAGTGGATGCTCCACTTCTGACTCTGCAACTGATCTCTGCAACCGCAGCCGGTTTGCAAGGTACTACATGTTCTATTGAGTGCCCAGATCCGCATTCATGATCGAGTGACATTGAAAAGCCACGGAAAGTCGGAAATGTCAGCAGTGGCTTTGTCGCTATGAGAAGAGACACCGTGGTTGATAGTCTCGGATGCAAGCCAAAAGCCCGTGTTTGCGTTCGAGCACTCTGCGAACGACGAAAGGCTGGATGTGTAATATCATTGGGTGCAAACATCTCCCTGACAATTGTCAAGTTTAAGCATGGATGAAACGCGCCTGCATGAATCCTTGAGTGCCCGCAGAGACGCTGGGGCCCAAAGCAACTGTTTACGTGAGGAGACTCGCTTGAAGTTCTCTTCAATCAGTTCAATCGTCTGTGAGATGGCAGAGACGCTCACAGCAACATGCGGGATTGCGTTGCGAGCGTTGCACGTCAATGTGTTGTTCAGATTTTGGCGCCATCCAAGATTGCTGGAGATGTTCAAGGTGCCCGCAGCAGGCAGGGCAACTGTTTTTTTCTGCAGCGAGAATGTAGCGGGTGTCAAGATGTTCCAGCTCACAGACACCGTGCGAAATCTGCAAGCCACGATGGGACGAGCTATGCACCGGTCTTGTGCGTTGTTTCGCTGGGCGCAATGCAGATTCCCACTGTGTGCGCAACAGGCGCGCGAGGCTTGCTGACAGGCTCTCTGGAGCAAAGACGAGCCCCGGCGCTGGTTTCGCGAAGGTGGGTTTGGGACCTTGGTTATTAAGCAGGCCTCCACATGCTTGACAACTTGAAGCCAGCAGTTCAGCCGCCGCGAGATCAACAAGACGAGCGTGAGAGCCGAGCTCAGGCAAGCGCGAGTTCAGGGCAGAGTTCAGACTGGAGCTTGAGATGTTTGACTGGGTGCGTGAAAGTGGCCAGAGACTTGCTTCAAGCTGTCTGAAGGAGCAAAGTGCTTGCGGAGTGTTTGTAGTTTGGTGTTCATCATGCAAGTGTGCTCAGTTTCAGGTTGCGAGCTAGGGATGATTCAGGAAGATTCGTTCCTGAAGCGCAAAGTGCTCAGTTTTTCCTCAAGACTTCAGAGCTTCGAAAGCCTCGCCGAAGTGCGAAGCTCAATTGCAAGTATCGGTTCAAAATTGTCAAGGCCGT